AAAAGGTGAAAGAAAACAGACGCTTTACAATTTCATCATTGTGCGACTACTTTCCTCAATGTTCTCGTAGTGTTTTGTATCGCATTGTGACCGAGAACTTGAATTACCGGAAATTGTGTTCACGTTGGGTTCCGAAAATGTTGACGGATTTGCACAAAACCCAACGTTTAGCCGGTGCATAGACTTTCCTTGAGCAGTACCACAATGAAGGTGAAGATTTTTTAGACAAAATTGTTACTGGTGACGAAACATGGGTGGCCTACGTCACACCAGAATCGAAACAACAGTCCATGGAATGGCGACATTCATCATCACCCAAAACAGTGAAGTTTAAGCAAACAATTTCTGCCCGGAAAATCATGTGCACCGTTTTTTGGGACAGAAAAGGAGTATTGCTAGTGGAGTTTCTGCCTCGTAATGAGACAATCAATGCAGCATCTTATTGTGAGACATTGAACAATCTGCGCCGTGCAATCCAAAACAAAAAGACGTGGCAAGTTGAGTAAGGGTATTGTTTTGCTGCATGACAATGCCCGTCCACATGTGGCTAATCGGACCAAAGATCTCATCAAATCTTTTAAATGGAAACTCTAGATCATCCTCCATACAGCCCTGATCTGGCGCCCAGTGACTACCATTTATTCCTGCACTTGAAGAAACACCTGGGCGGTCAGCGTCTTCAAGACGATAACGAAGTCAAAACAGTTGTGATACAGTGGTTAACCAGTCAGGCGGCAGAATTTTATGAGGAGGGTATTGGAAAACTGGTGCCACGTTATGACAAGTGCCTCAATATTCACGGAAATTATGTAGAAAAGTAGATTAAGGTACAGGCTTTCATGTAAAAATAAAATTATTGCGATATCTTTGCACGTTTTTTTTTAATTCCAAAACGGTACTTACTTAAAAAACATGCCTCGTACTTTTATATGAACTTTTTTACTTATTTCTTCTTATTTTTATCTGCAGAATATGCTGCCGAAGTTTCCGGAATACAGTTCGGACCACCCTGTATTATAAAATTCTTCGTATACTCGCTCGGTTGTGTACGATATTCTCCGATGGTGGCAGCACCGGCGGAGAATGCACCAAGCCTATAAAAACCTGGTTCCGCTAGTACCTAGTATTACATAAATAAATCAAAATGGAAATTAATTATTTAATTCTTGTGTTATCTCATTTTTACTGCGTAGAGACCCAAATTCGACGACTTACGACGATAATTATATTAAAAAAATTCACCTACTTGCCGTGCGCGTGTTAAATAACAGGCGACCTAAAAATCCGAAGCCGAAATTCCATTTTGTGTGGAGATTTCGATTTTTAATTACGATTAAATAATACTTTCACATTCGGAATGAGCAACGGCAGCTTTAATCACCGAACAAAATAAATTGTAGATAAGCTAAGCCAAGATTCGTTATTGTTGTTCTAGATTCTAGATCATAGCTTTTTAAAAAGGAAATAATGTTTATATAACTTTATAAAAAGATAATAAATTTATAGATAATATACAGGATGGTCCGAACTGTATTCCGGAAACTTTAGCAGCATATTCTGCAGATGAAAATAAGTAAAAAAGTTCGTATAAATGTATGTCCTAAAATGCTTAGCTTCGGAGATACGGGGTGTAGAAGTTTCATTTTTATTTCGATTTTTTCCAAATAGTTTCTGAAGTAATCTCAATATTTAGATGAAATTGGGTGTGTGGCAGTTTTTTGACATGAGAAATTTAATTTTGATGTGTCAATATGACTCCTACTTGTAGAGGGCGCCACCTACATATTTTTTAACTATTTTAAGAGTAATAACTTTTTATCCGTACCTGTAGGTAAAAAATCGTTACGAGTAATGGTTGTCGAGATATTTGGAATCGAAATTATCAATACCTCTCATCATTGACATAAATTAACCACGTTGAGTAAATAGTTATTAGACTGAAATCACAAATTTGAAATGTGTTTGTGTCAAAAGTTCAACAGAAACAGTTTTTTCATCATTTTTTCGAAGAAAAATTTATGAATAATTTAAAAAATAAATAGTTTCCAAATTAATAATTTCAGTCAAATGACTATATATTTTCAACACGTTTATTTTTTTTGTCAATAATGACATGTATTGACCATTTCCATTCTAAATATCTTAAGAACGGTTGTTTGTAGAGATTTTTAGCAAGAGACATTTTTTGCGTGAAAAATCACGGAAATGTATATTTTTTCGCTCAGTAGTTTTATACAGGTACGGACGAAAAGTTATTAGTCTTCAAAACAGTTAAAACACACGTAGGTGGCGCCCCCTACAAATATGAGTCATATTGACATCAAAATAAAATTGCTCATGTCACAAATCTCCCAGATACCAATTTTCATCCAAATATTCGAAATATAAAATCGAAATAAATATAAAATTTCTACACACATAAGAAGTTTTTTACTTATTTTTATCTGCAGAATATGCTGGCGAAGTTTCCGGTATACAGTTCGGAGCACCCTGTATAATAGTTTTTGAATAATCTGTTGATCATCTGTTGATTGTCAATAATTGAGGCGTCAAGTTTAATAACCCATCCGAAAAACGTTGTTTCGAGATAATATGCAAAAACTTTTAGCAAATGAAGCGTTATTTTACAAAAAACGTATCCACTGAGTGGAATCATTGTTTTGTATCTTGTTTTTCTAAAAATAAAAATTAATATTTAATTTTTTAAGAGAAAAAAAACACAAAAATATAGTAGAGTTTGCTACAAAGAATAGATCCCTCGACTATAGTTTGTTGGTGAAAGCCGAAAATCGTTCTCTTGAGAGTGTCGACTGCAGCAAATTCCTGGGAGTGCATCTAGATCAGAAGCTAACATGGAGAGGCCATACCAAGTCAGTAACTGCAAAGTTAAGTTCTGCTTCCTTTTTGATTAAAAACTTGAAGCATACAGTTTCTGGCGAAAACAATAAAACTGATTTATTATGGATTGGTACAATCTGTGTTGGCGTATGGTCTGGTGTACTGGGGACACTCCGGTGAAGTGTGTTCGGTTTTTGTGGCCCAAAAAGAAAATAGTAAGAATCATGGCTGGGAGGGGTCAGAAAGACTCATGCAGGCCATGTTTTCAATCGCTAAATATTATGACTTTATATTCTTTGTACTTATATTCAATTATTGTATTTACAATTAAGAATGAGGAAGAATTATCCCGACGGCGGGAAGTTCACAGTCACAACACCCGCTACAAAGATGAATTTGATATCCCATATACGCGCCTTACTATGGGGCAACACAACCCATCAATATTTGGGAGAAAGTGTTTAAACAAAATGAGAAGAGTGTCCGTAGAGTTTAACTCTCTAAACCTAAACAAAAAAATAAGTTTAATTTAAAGAAATTTTTTATATCAAAGGAGCTATTACACTCTAGACGAATTCTTCCGGGAGCCGGAAATTCCAGGCTTGTCAGCACATATATAATAATGATTCTTCTTTACAATTGTTTTTTGTTTGTGTATAAAAACATGTATAGTTGTTTTATATTTGTATTTGTATGATTTTCTGTCAAAAATTGTTGTTTTCTGTATATATATTTATCGACGATCCTATAATCTAAGTACCATGTATTTATATTAAAAGGAATTAATAAACTAAACTAAACTAAACTAAACTAAACTATGTCAGATAAGGCGGATATTCTTGCAGTATGATGCACATTGCGGATTTTGCTACAGCTAGATATTTGCAAAATTAGGTAAGGATTTGAAATGAATCAGACGTGAGTAGTATTATTATACTTGTGTAGAAAGCCTATGAAAAAATGCAGGATTTGCAACAATAATGACAGTAAAATGCAGATCTAAATGGATAAGACGGATCTTGCTGCAGTAACGTAATTTGTAGCTAATTTTATATAGGAACTAGCGTGTACCAGCGACTTCGTTCGCGTCGAATTAATTATTTGTAATGGTGAAGATAAAGCAAAGCAAGAATTTCCATTAACATACAAACTGGATAAAATTTTCTCACATCTATGTCAGCAAGAGAAAAAACAATATGGCGATATTATTATATAACTTGGTAATATTTGAGGGGTAGATTCATCTCGTTGGAATTTGATTTTCGAAAAATCCGTTTGCCAAAAATAAGCTTTTTACGTCAAACAGTTTAAGCAGAATCGTGGTTAAGAAATTACCCAACTTTTTGGAGCACCCTGTATGATTTTTTAAAAAATTTCAAAATATGTAAAAAAACAAATAAATTATGCTTGTCCAAGCATTTTCCCGAAAGACTAACCGTTTTTAAAATAACAGATATTGTAATATTTGAGGGGCGTTTTTACCCTCTTGGAATTTGAGATTCGAGAAACCCCTCCTTATCGAACCTCTACACCCCACAGTCAATCCGTTTGCCAAAAATCAGCTTTACACGTCAAGCAGTTTAAGCAGAATCGTGATTACTCAATGGTCATATTTTATGAAACACCCTGTATAAATTTATAAAAAATCTTAAAATATGTAAAACAACAAAATAAAATATACGTGTTTCAGAGTTTTTCCGAAAAACTCACCGGTTTTTAAATAAAAAATATTTTAATATTTGAGGGATATTTTCACCCCCTTAGAATTCGAGTTTCGAAAAATCCCTTCTTATCGAACCTCTACACCCTAAAGTCAATCTGTTTTCTTAAAATCAGCTTTTTTACGTCAAGCGCTTTAAGCAGGATCGTGATTAATCAATGACCAGATTTTTCGAAACACCCTGTATACATTTTTAAAAAATCTTAAAATATGTAAAAAAACAAAATAAAATATACGTGTTTAAGCGTTTTTTCGGAAACTTTACCGTTTTTAAAAAAATAAAAAATATTCTAATATTTGAGGGGTGGTTTCACCCCCTTGGAACTGGGATTTCGAAAAATCCCTTTAATCGGTATGTCAGTCACTTAAGGATTTTATATATTAGTATAGATTATACTTTTGCAGATTTATTTGGGAGTGGGGTTGTTAATCATATTATAATTAAAAAACATTATATTTTTTTTCGTTTTTTTCAGAGAAGACATGGAAAAAGTGAACATAAGATTTCACGATAATGGAACGGTATCATATCAGCACAAGAAAATTCTCAGATTTGTACCTGAACTAAGTGTAGATAGAACACATAAAATTACAGTGCCTAACATCCCTTTGCTGGTAAGTATCTTTTTCTGTTCTATAAAATTAATTTGAATATTTATGCAGGTACAGAGTACGAAAAAAAAACGGCATCCAGTTGGCTTGAAAATGACGATCGATGGCATTCCTCATATAATTTTACATATAAAAACAGCGAATTTAATTATAGCGCTTATTTTTTAGCTATCAAAATAAAACATAACGCCGATTGACCAAACCATACAAGTAAATACATAAAGAAATTAGCATCTTCAAGGTTATTTTACTCTTGTAAAATTTCATTTCTTTATCATTGCTTTAGAAATTTCGCCTAATATTTTGTAATGAGAGATTATTTAATGTTGCCCAGTCAAACAGGAAATTACATTATATTTCGCTTTTTATGTACATAGTACCGTCCATTTTGTTGCATAGATGTTTGTAATTTCTTTATATCTTAAGCTGAAATGGGTGGTTCTTCTGGCTGTTACATAACAGGTATTTAAAATAAGTTAATTAATATGATATTCAGTAATGTATTGTATTATATTGTAGTCTAGTTATGTATAGATTCAAAGATTTTCCTTGATTTCAAAGATTTTTCTTGATTTAAGCACAGATTATACAGATTATAAACTTTGTTTTTTCTTGATTGTTTTTCGTGGTTCCAATTTTCGGAATCGGGTACTAGTTAGGTTACTAGTTTGCGCACATAGCACGCCCACTTATGGCTTCTAAAATTGTGCACAGCGCCTGACCGGCACAGTTATTAGAGAGATATCGGAAAACCGAATAGCGTCATGCAGTATTTACGCGTATGGTTACCTTATCATGGTTACGATATGCGCGAGTCAATTTTTAACGCAACACCCGCTAATAACTTTACCGCCTGACGTAATTTGCGGAACAATTACACCAAGCGCTATTTCTAAATAACGTTTAAGAATTGCTTAAATGGGCATGTGCGGGTATTTGATAACCGGGGCCGGCCGGCGAGATCTTTTATTTTAGGTTATATTTGAATTGATTTGAATTATTACTTTAGTTTTATTAGGTAATTTGATATTTAAGTAGCTGGGATTAGTTTTAATAAAAATAAACATGGCCCAAAATATGAATTCCACATCTTCCAATATTAAAAAACCTATAAAGAGGCTTAGGTTTACAACAGAGAATTTGTTGCTTGTTGCCCTTAACCCATTGACAGACGTTGAACAATAAAGCACTGGAAATAAGCACTTTAGCCCTTTAGTTTTAAAATACCTAGTAAACAAAACAATTTCAAAGTTTTAAATTCAAAGTTAGGTTAAGTTTAAATAGCGGACGCGACGCGAACAGAATTCTTTCCGATCCGATAACTATAAATGAAGAGAGTTAATACTACCTCACGTAAAGGAAATAACACCTGGCCTTATTAACGTCCATGCACGCTATTCGGTTTAGCGATATCTCTCTATTACGCTGTTTATTGTTATTTTACGCGAGTTTATTTTTGCGCACAGGAAATTTTACTCGTTTGCACATTATCATAAAAAACAATTTTCGTACCATGAATTAGTGATAAGATTTTTATCTGTATACATATAGTATACCTAATCTGTGATTTAAGTAAGAACAATCTTCGGATTGTTACGGGGTTTTGAACAGGACACTGTCTCCTGAACGAACACCTTGAAGCTGAGAAACAACTTCGAATGCAGATTCTGTGGGGGAAATGGGGAAACACTAAAACACCTCATTGAATGCGCCGATGGTACGACTAATATCGGAGATGGAGAACTAACCTTTGTAAAACCGTCTAAGATACTGGCTTTTATCAAAGCCTTAAGCCTGTCTGATAAGTTATAACTCAAGAAAGATACTCTGGATCTACAATAAGGTTCAGAACCGGGAAATCCCGGTACCGAAAGTACCGAGAATTCCCGGTTTTTTTGAGACATCAAAGAACCTTGGGACGGAAATTTTCGGGACTCGTAATAATAATTAAAAACATATTTTTTGTTACGTACGAAAGAATTTTGACACTTTCTAGCGGTCGAAATCAAACTCTTCTAAGTAAGTAATGATTCTTACTCCTGAACTTATTTTGAAGTTTCTATAATGTGTATTAGCATTGAAGTTTAAATATGTTATTTTATTATTTAGTATAATATTGCTGAATGTATTAGTTATATTTTTCTGTGTCATGTTTTTATAGGCATTTGCATTTTTAATTGAAAATGTTAAGTTTTTTTTCTAATGTGGTAAATTTAGTATCGAGGTTGGTTGATGTTGTTTGATGTAATTTTTAAGCTACCTATGTGTTTTCTTTTTTTTTTTCGCTGGTGTTTATGTTTACTTTATCATGACTTAATAATTTGATATTATTTTCATTTGAAACTCAATTTTTATCAGTTTTTCTTTTGAAAACCATCCCTTGCTTGCTAATTTTTGACGAACTCCACAATCGTTGGAACGAAAATATTTTAGTACTGTTCTGGAGACTCTAATTAATACCACCAATTAGGGTTCAAATCTTTTTGGCCATCACAGAGCCGGGTCTTGGTAACAATAATTAAATAATTAATTTATTGTTACTCGAGAAAGTCCTTTGATACTTTCTATATATAGCGGTCGAAATCAAACTCTATTAAATTTTGTATGATTTTCATTGTTTTCATTCATTGTTTTCATTAAATTTTGTATGATTTCAAATTTGACTCATTAAATAAGTAATGATGCTATTTCTTATCAAGAACGCTAACTTCTTTTCTCTTGAAGTTTCTATAATATTTGTTATGTTATGTTTTAATAGATATTTGAATTTTTAATTCAATATTTTTTAGGGCTTTTATCTCAAATTCAGTTAAGTTGGTTTATGTTGTTTCATGCGAAATTTAAGTTACCTATACTTTTTCGTTTACTTGTGTTCATGTTAATTTTTTCATGACTGATTACTTAATAATTTGATATTATTTTCATTTAAACCTCAATTTTTTATCCATTTTACTTTGAAAAACCATCCCTTGTTTTCTGATTGATGAACTGCACCACCATTGAACAAAAACTACATACATACATACTGCCATTACACGCTGACGAGTAGTTGACACACATCAGAAGATGGTCACGCAAGGCGTTTTCCTTCATGAGCTTTTCTATGACTGAAAAGCCCGAAACGTGATGTTATCTGCCTACCGCACTCCGGACATTCAAAAATCTCATTGCTTTGTTGTCTCTTTACTTTCTGGTTGCCGCTGTTAACTGAGTTTACAATTCTTCTCCATTGAGTTCTATTGCGAGCTGCTTCCTCCCACTCATTCTGCATGTTAAGTTTTCGTGGAAAATGTCTTTGTACCATTTGAGTTGTCCACCCGGCCTCCTCTTACCGTCTGCAAGCTCACCGTAAAGCAGAGATTTTGGTAAGCGGTTTTCTTGCATTCTGCATACGTTCTGCCCATCTTAAGCGGGATTTTGTAACCATGACTTCATTACTCTCGCAGTTAGCTTTTTCAAAGACCGATACGTTTAAGACATGATGGAACCACCGGATTCTGTTGCAACTTGTTTAATGCGTTCATGTGTCGGCGGTACGGCACCCAGGTTTCGCTCCCATATGACATTGTGGGGATTATAATTGCTAGGTACACTGCAAGTTTTGTTTTTGTACACAAGTCATGATTGTAGAAAATCCTGTCTTTTAATTTCCAGAATGCTCTTGAGGCGCTGCTAATCCTGTGCTGAATTTCATAGTCGATATTGGCCTTTTCCGAAATCAAACTGCCGAGGTAATTGAATTCCGTTATATGTTCCAATAGTTCTCCGATTTTTATAAAACAACGATTTTTTTAACAAAAATTAGTCTGTGCGGAAAGTACTGAAAAAACGGGAAATCCCAGTTCCTAGGAGGCGCGGTCCCGAAATTCCCGGTTCAGAAAAACAGATCCGATTCCGGAGACCCTAATATAATAATAATAGCTCCCGTATACAGGGTTGTTCACCACATACGACACGGAGTATTGTAGCTAAACGATGAGATTTTTACAAATTGTAAGTTTGGGGTTCGTTGAAGGACTATTAGAGCTACAATTTAAAAATATTTTTACAAGATACAGAGTGTCCCAAATAAATAAAAAATATCAAAGTTGTATTTTTTAAATGGAACACCCTGTATATTATTACATTTTTAGTTTCTACGATTAAAATAAAGGTAAATTTGATTAAGGTTTATTATACTTAAACCTTACCGTTTTTAAATATTTTCAATTTTGTGAAATTGCAGTAAAAATTTTAAAGCTTCATTTCTCCAAGGGTATCAATGTTTTTAATACTAAATATTTAATGAAGTTTATTTATTGATCAGTTATTGTGTTGCAATAATAAAAACTTTACTACCTTATACAGAGTGTCTAAAAATTTATTTTAAATAATTATTAGCTTCAAACGGCAATAACTTCTTTAATTTAAATGGAATGCCCCGTATATTTTAGGAGAATCAGATGCACAATTAAATTGTCTATCAAATTGTATTATGCCATTTTTTACCTATCCCTTCAAGTTTTCGTAGAAAATGCATTTCCTTATAATTTAGACCTCATTTATCAATATATCCATGGAATATTGACATTTTAGATTGTTTTTAAAGCAACAAATGTACAAAATGTACAGACTAGTAATATTATCGTTTTTAGCAAAACGATAATATTACTACCCATTTGTATGCAAAAAGAAAACTATTTAAATCTTTATAAAAGAGTATACCATTAATTAAATATAACACCATTATTTGCGCCCATATACTAATTAATTACATACTTAATTGTGTTCGTTATTAAATTATTATAAATAAATGTGGATTTGAGTCAGAAATCAATATAATAATAAGTTATCAAATTAAAGTCTCTGTAGTTATAAATAAGCATTTATTAAAAAATGAAATATCATTTTTAAGGTGTTACTTTTTATCACACTGTCTAATGCCCATACAAAATTCAGTTTTTTAGTATTTGGAGCAATTATTATTAATCAAAGCAAGCAGTCATTTAATGTAGTTTGAATACTGGAATCATATTAATTGGTCCTCTTTAACAAATATTTAAACAATTTTTTTTAATTTTTTAATGAAATAAACGAATTATATCGACAATATTAGTATCTGTACTCTTTAAAAATTTGGTACATCTTTAAAAATAATCTAAAATGTCAATAGTCCATGGATAAATAAGTTCTAAATTACAAGAAAATGCATTTTCTACGGAAACTTAAAGAGATAGGTAAAAAATGGTATAATATAATTTGATAGACAATTAAATTGTGCATCTGATTCTCGTAAAATATACAGGATGTTCCATTTAAATTAAACAAGTTATTGCTGTTTGAAGCTAATAATTATTTAAAATAAATTTTGACACTCTGTGGTAGTATTATTTTATTATTGCAACACAATAACTGATCAGTAAATAAACTTCAATAAATATTTAGTATTAAACTTTGATACCACTTGTTTTCATGAAGCATTAAAATTCTTTTTGCTGCAATTTCTAAAATGGCAAAACGGTTAGGTTTAATAATAAATCTTAATCAAGCTTACCTGTTGTAGAAACTAAAAATGTAATAATATACAGGGTGTTCCATTTAAAAAATACAGCTTTGATATTTTACTTGCCTTGGGACCAGCCTGTATCTTGTAAAATTGCTTTAAATTGTACCTCTCTAGTCATCATCAATCCAAAACTACTTACATCTCATCTCCAATACCTGTGTGTATGTTCAACCCTGTATAGCGTTTAAAGCCTTGGGAGGAGCAAGGTACAACTTGCCATACTAGAGCCGTTCGGTATACAAGGAAGGTAATGTGACTAGCACTACGCTTCAACCGCCTATTATTACCTCAGGATTGTAAATCCCAAGTACTCATTTAAGGCTGAGTCGACCTAGGTATCCAAACTATTTTTATTTTAATAAAAATAGTCGGCTGATGAAATGCCAGGCGTAGGATTCGAACCCACAACCTTCAGATTGGTAGACGAGAGCCTGTACCTCTACGCCACCGGGCACCCAACCCTAATCTAAAAGACCAAAAAATTTGTGCTTTTTTATTTAAAGACAAACCTTCTTTCCCAGAAAATGTACCCTGTGTAAACTGAAAGCAAAATTCTTTGTTCTACCGTCTAATTAAACGAGACCAAGCAAAAAGCGAACTTAAAAAAGAAACTCAAACTCTGTTGACACCGTTTCACTTGCGTTTTCCGTTCCAAGGTCGTCGCTAATTTAATTTCATCTCGAACGCGTGGCGTAACCGCAAATAAAGGATGATGATGATGGTTCTCTCTTCGCTTACTCGTTATAAAAGTAAAACACTTAAATCTTTAGAAGAGACATGTTGCGTGTCTTTGTTTGCTATTGTAATTTGCAATAGTCTTGCGTACAAGAGCATATCTAACTGTTTGTACATATTATGTATGTAAATTGATGGTGTTATTACATATTTAGAACTTTTTTGAATGCTAATTAATTTAATATATATAGTATACAGGGTGTCCCAGGCTGAGCGTGCATTAGAAGTTTCTAGAGAACTACAACATCTAGAAGAAGGAGATTTCTTGCACATTATTGTTTCAAAATGAGATCTATCGATTAAAAATATTTTTAATATGGCGACACTTCCGGAAATACCGGAAGTTAACATCAACTTCCTTATTTTAAATGGGTACCTCCATTTTTTATTGTATACTTAAATTATCCGTAAAATTTTATGAATTTTGATGTCAAACACCCTATATCTAACATTAACCGTTTTTTAGAAAAAAATATTTAAAATTTTTGGACGAAAAAAACTTCCTGTCAAAAAAATGTGTATAGTCTAAACCATAGGTCTAAACATCAAAAAAAAAAATTAGTGATTATCACAGCCACTGTGACAAAAAGACAAGACATTTATTCGGCTATCTTGTAGCGTTTTTTTAAAACATTATCATTGCGAACGGCAGCTTTTCGTTGGTAGAGCAGTCGTGGATAAGGTATTTCACTGGAAGGAAACTAATTAACAATAATAACTCGAAATTATAAATATTGGGCGCCAGGCATGTACAGAGAAAGAAAACACAGTTGTATATTACTTAAAACTAATGACTATATTTATTCATGACGTTCTTAGATGGTACATGACATTGTAGAGTTCTAATAAATATATAGTGGTTATATGTCAAAGAAAGTGGTGGTAAGAGTCGTACTAAATATCAATGAAAACAACTACGATAAAATACAAGACATGTAATGTTTAAGAGAATATATGAAATGTAGCATTACTTTAATTAATTTGATATATTCCATATGATGCTAAATCGAAGATGTTGCAACCTGTAGATTCTAGAATCTATGTTTGGTTATTCATCTGTTAAATAGTGCGATAATAATATCTATAAAAGTAATACCATTACAAGATGTAATGCAATGAAACCTAAGATCTAAATTATATTTAGTATTAATTATTATATTAAATATTAAATCGACATGAATGTTCTTAACAATCTAACCACTAAACATAGTCTGTACGATATTATTTAAGATGTACGTTATTGTTTAAGACTGTAAATGTTTTAAATGTTAAATGTAAAACTAGAACTTAAATCTACACTTAGCTGTTCTTTATGTAATCTTGCTTTAAACAGTAACAGCGTGAGGTGGTCTCGCATCTCTGTACTCAGCCATCCAACACAACCAAAGGGGCCAGAATGAGGACACCATGAATTGACACAGCCGTAACTAACTAGCTTATAGCTGGGAACGAAGCAGCATGGGACTCAAGCTACATCCACGCTGTGGCACTTATATGTAAGAGAAAATCGTTCTTACTGGGGACACTCGTCCACAGGACATCCGTACATAAGATAATGTCCGTACATAAGACACTATCCGTACCTTGGACCTTAAAAATATGAGACTCTTGTTTAAAACCAAACAAGGTCTAATAAACAAAATAAACCTACCTCGAAATACTTCCGAGGGCTCAATAAATAATAAACAACCTGTCCTTTCTTCCATGTGACATTCTGGAGGACAAAAGAAAAGGAACACGTGCCAGCAAAATACAAATACAAGTTGGGACATCTGTAACTCTAACCTAAAAATATTCAATAATAATATCGAATCTATAAAAGGTAATATGTAGCCTCGAAATAGCAGCTGATTCAGATTATACAGCAAGATTTAAATAATCACCATTTCTAAAACTGGGATACAACAGAGCATCAAAACAAAGTGAGGTTAAGCACGGAGAGGAGTTGACAGAAGCTTGATGTTGACAGCGCCTCCTCAGAGCGATAACAGGGTTGTGTCGAACGATAACAGGGTTGGCGACTAGGGGAACGTAAAAATTACGCGTCAGATAAACTATCCGGCCTGAACGAGAGGGAATCCGGTGATGATAGGCCAGACATCATATATTATATATAAAAAAGACATGTAACGAACTAAAAACGTTACAATCTATTTAAAAAAGTAAATTGATTGAATGTCATATAATATTGGCCGTAGCTGTCATGGAATTGAGCGATTTTAGGCTGTATTCCGTTGCAAAACCAGGCGAACCAGACCGGTAAACTACGGTAACGAGCGGGTCCTGAAAAACATCGGTTTGATACGGAACGGTTTGGTAAAATTAAAATACTGGAAACGTCAAATTTTGACGTTTTCTAAATTTCAGTACCTCTATTATAAAATTTATTTTTTATGTATTTTTAATTTACCTGTTCTCTGCTTTTACGTTTGCTTCTTCTTTTCAATGGAGTTTAATATTGAAAAGTACTTTATTAATAAACTGTTAAACTCGTTAGACAGCTCAAGTGAAGATTTGCAGGTCCAATATTAAAACAGATCAGTAATAAATAAACAAATCTAATCAATATTTATATTTTTATAGCTTACAAAACATTCACGATTACTTGTTGTCTTGTTTTTCATGTTTTCTTTAAATAATATTCCTGACTTTAAGAAACAGTATATATTATTAAGAAACAAAAATATAAATTCAAAAAATTTTACAAAAAATTTAAGTAGGTATTTAATAAAAAATAGATACCTATGAGATATCCATTTAAAATAATTGATAATGGTCAATACTAAAACATTGTCCACCACATTCAAAGAAATATTTTAACTAACTCAAAATTTATAATTTTCAGACTTTGTCGACTCAGTCCAACAACATGGGCTACTGGTTGCAGAAAACGATATCAGTACTGCTGGCCATGGGTTCCAGCAAACCGTTCGTCAGCGTAACGGCCGATGAACTGGTGTTCGGATACGATGACAGTCTGGTGTCTCTAGCCCACAAATTCTATCCAAAAAGGAAGAAACCATCCAATAAGATGGGTCTTCTTATCAGTGTAAGTTAATTTCCCTATAAACTATATATTTATTGAAAACTGATGGGTTTTGTTTTCATTACATGCAAACTTTAAATCAAATGGTAAGTCATTTATTTATATCTTATATATTTATATCTATTCATCCAGCAGTAGGTATGTCTACTGCTGTGCGAGCCCCTCAAATAGTGCTGTTCGGATTCGGCAATTAACTCTATGTCCCGTGTACTTGTAAACACTAATGACACACATCAATACATGCAAGACGTCGCCAACACTCTGTATAAGGTACTGAAAGAAGAATAAAGCATAACATAGAAAGCTACCGATTTTATTAATCATTTTTCATTCTGTACGAATACTTACAGACATTTTATATCATAAACTAAAAATATCACAGAGTAAAACTTCTTTCATAGTTTTTATCCACTTTACATTGGTATTCTACGTATTGTATCATTATTTGATCCCACTTCTGAAGTTATCATCAGGTAGACATCAGTTATAATATTTTTGGATATGATTGTTATTTTCTTTTATTTGATGTGTGTCTAGTATTTTCTAACGAAAGGCTCGTTACTATATTCTGGACAAAACAAATGTTTTTGTTAATAATAAATTAATAAAGCTCTAAAACTAGTAAATAATTCTGCCAGTTATCTTCATAATATACCAAACCAAATGTTGCAATTAGATATATATATATATACACTTCATACCTAATTAACTTTTAGTCACGTGATTAAGCTTGACCGGTACAACGTTGCCCACTTTTAATTAACACCAAAAATTACTTAATTATTACAGTATATTTGTATATTAAAAAATAGCAATTATACGTACTATTACAAACCATTATTCATATACAGCGAAACGGTACACTGGCAGAAGTACACAATATGTATACCGGGGAAACAGGAATGCAGGAATTCGGACTTTTGGCAAATCTCAACGGAAAGGAAACGTTACCGTACTGGGATGAGGCTCCTTGTAACGATTTGACAGCTAGCGAAGGATCTTTCTTTCCACCCCGGTATTTCACGAAGAGGGATGTGGTTTACTTGTATGACAAAGACTTGTGTCGGACGTTTCCGTTTCAGTACAGAGAATCAGGCGAGAAGCATGGTAAGTTTAAGTTTAGATGTTTGATTGATTTTTATATTTTATATATACAGGGTGTCCCACTTAAGATGGATACAAGCCAATATCTTGTTTATTTGTTGAGCGATCTTTTTCATTTTTGGCAGGCTGCTGTATGGCTATAAGACGTACATTTTGCCCAGGGTAAGAAATGCGATACCTCATAGACCTACGTTTTATATTTTTCGAGTTAAGAGTAAACTACTCTTAGGACAGTATTTATTTCAAATCTGATAAATTATATTGAATCCTCCTTACCTAAGATACTTAAGTTCTAATTTTGATAAATATTGATACAGGGCGTGTCGTTAAAATAAGACATCTTTATTTTTATTATTATTTTTTAAGTACTTACGACGCCACTGGATAAACAACTGGTTTATTATCAATAACCAATTATATACAATTATGAATTAATAATCGATTTAAGTTTTCAGATAGTTTACATAATAATTAAGATACGATTCAAAAGAAAACTAAATATTTTCAATTTATATTGTTTACTTTAAAAAATTGTCTTTGAAATTTGCTTTCAATGGAATCTGAAATATGGTTTTTATTCGTTTTATTGAGGAATATTTAAAAAAGTCCAAATAGTTAGTTAATTTAATAGATATTTAAAACAATCACTATTAACTTTGAAAAATATGCTCTAAACAAAGATTTATAAAACCAAACCAAATCATCCTTTTGGAAACGTTCGAGAACGGATAACTTTCGTCGATTTTAGTTCATCTCGGAACAAAATCAGCCGATTGGCGTTTATTTTCGGGTTTGTAAGAGTAAATTCAGGATTCATTACCACTGACAATATAGTCTGTACAACGAGAAGATCCTTGACAGTGATAGATGTGTCTGTCAATTTAATTTCAAAGTAGTTTATTTTATGTTACAAAGTAATAAGTTGGTACAACTGGAACGCATAGCAGGACATTTTGATACAAAATATTGTGAAAAAAACTGTATAAAACTGAAAAAATGTAATCGAGTTATTTAATTTAATAAAAACGGTATGTGTTAATACAAAACAAACAAGAACAAGACACCACATACCAAAAAAATATAAAAAAGAACTATTTCTTACTTTCAAGCTTTATGAAACTTCCCGCATTTATGATTATATTTATCAATATAACTTATGTACAAATACAAACTTGTAATATTCCGCAGGAATAAATAAAACAACATAAATAAAACAAACTATTTTATTAATAATAACATTTACCAAATTTTATACCTTAAAGGTTAGTTAATTAACTTTAATCTTAATTTTTTTAAACCAGTACCTTTTGACATTATTTTTCTCTGCAGTACTAAAATCCATTATTTACCTATCGTGTGATGTCGATATAGCTACTCCAGTTTTTAGTACGTGTTTAGTATGGTCCTTCTACCATATTCGAGATGCACTTATCTACGACGAGATGGTATACGAACTTTAATGATGGTAACTTTATTGGTGTATAAGACTTTTTGCCTGGGCAGCGAGTATTAACCATAAACTGTGCTCTGGGTCTACAGTTAATTTTCGCTCGATTTTTCCTCCACTTGACTTCAAAAGACACAAAACACACGTAATAACACGAATCAAAATGCATCATCTTCCAAAACGCAGGGTATTTGACAAAACTGACAAAAGTTGACACAGAATTATAACCTCTAATTTGGCAAGACTTTGACAAGCGTCAAAAATCTAAATGCGAGTTCATACGCATCGGCGCCGGCGTCCGTTTGTCGTTCATCGTTCCGTCAAACCAATAAAATTGAAATACGATCTGCCATTTTTGAAATAAACCAATAAAACTGGTTAAAAACAACAAGAGACGACACATGACGGATTTATATTTAAACCCATCCATAGTTAACTTAAAAATTATTAGAAACTTTTTTTAGTAAAATAAATAGATTGGTATGGGACGTCATCTGCTTTTCTTCTGTCATCGTCTGTCGAAATCTTACCTGGGGAAAAAAACAGAGTATACTGTATATCGTCAGCTTTATGACGAAAAGACTTGCTTTCTGTTCTTCCTTCAACAGATGTGGTATGCAACGAGAAAATATTTTTTTACAGATAATTCTTCATATATTCTTTTTTAATTGAGGTTTTTGAAATACCCAATGATGCTTCAATTTCACAATATGTGATATGCAGATCTTCTTGGATCAGCTTACGTACAGCACCGACGTTTTCCTGGGTGACTGCCGTTGTTGGTGGACCTGTTTGTTCTTGAATCCTGTTGTTCTAAGACTAATCCGTCGATATTTAAATTCTCCTTACCAGCGAGAAATTGTCGACTGATGTAGTGCTTCATTGCCGAAAACAGAAACCAACTCGGCAAGGTATTCTTGTTGAGACAAATGTCTTCAAAAATTTTAAAAAATTATTGTGCGAAAATTAATCAAATCTAAACTCTTCTTTTTCTTTAGGTTTCTCTTAGCAGCATTAGGCTCGTTTTTCTCTATATCAACACTACATAATATATGTTAAAAATGTTTATATTTTACAGGAATTCCAGCTGATTTGTACACTCCTCCCGAAGATGTTTTTGAAGACGTTAGGCAAAATCCGGAAAATAAATGTTTTTGTCCCGGAAATGAATATTGTCCTCCAAAAGGATTGCAAAACATCAGTCCTTGCCAATATGGTAATAATTTAAATATGTTTAATATTGTTGTTGTTAAAAGTGTTTTCAATATCTCTTAAATTGTTTTTATTAACTTTGAAGTTACAGTACAACTATTATATTTATTCTTCGCCATTTATCATCTTCAAATATAACTCTTCTTTTTCAGATGCTCCTGTATACCTATCTTTTCCTCATTTTTTGGATGCCGATCCTTCACTTATAAACGAAGTGGAAGGCTTGAACCCAGTAAGGCAGAAGCATCAATCGTATTTCAGAATACAACCAGTAAGTTAATGATCTCAGTTAAAGATAGTTAATTTGTCACATAAAAATCTATTTGTACCAGTGGCGCATCTAGAGATTGGGTCTGGGAGAGGCAGCAATATTTAAAAAAAGTACAAAATTAAATTAAATTTTCTCTGAAATGTACCTATTTTAGCTGTGGTAAAAGTAAACTCGGATTGGTCTGGATTTTCTACTTTGATTGGTATTATTAATTTCTTTTGTAAAAATTTTTGTTTTATACGACATTTTATCACTTAAAACTTCTTCCTGGGAGGGGTAATTACCTCCATTACCCCTCCCGTATATGCGCCCGTGATTTGTACAGAAACTTAATAAAACATCAAGGTATAGATCATACCCTTTGAATAAGAAGACTAAGGAAGGAGCATATCAAAAATCTTAGGTACACCGCGATGGGCCTCAAATATGGCCGACTTAAATTCCGGTTTATCAGTGTCGATCTAATTTTATTTAAAAAATGTAAAACTATGATGTAGGGTAGACGTGGGGTAGACTCAATAATTTGTTGTTTTATTTTACGTTGTGAATAAATGTTGGTAGTTATTAAAATTGTTATAAAAATATATAATTCTAATAAAAATAGATAAGTTATAATAAGTATTTATTAGCACAAACATCCGAAACGCTACTGAAGCAGGTAAGTCAAATTAATGTATCTAAATTCTTTGACATCTAATCTTTGACAAGTAATAAATAAAAGCTAAAATGCAAGAAAAATATATAATTTAGTTAATTTAAGTGAATTTCATAAATAATCGGTTTACTACACGTATGTATATTATATAGTCACTTACTAGCGAAAAGTTGTTCCATTATTTCACCCTATTTTTGCCGAGATATACCGCACGCTACACAACCAACTATTTTAGAGTCTTTTTCGATAAATCGCGATACTGTCACTGTTAATTTAAGTTCTGCCACAATTTCCATCTAGATTTACTACCTTTATATAACTATCAGTAGTAGAATAAATAATAAATAACATAAAATAAGCTCCGTAAAGACTGACAAATCCACAAAATTTCAAATCAAATTCAAATGTGTCAAATGAATCGTCAAACAGAACTGTCAAGGATCCCCACCCTAGAGTGCTTTTATGGTGCTTTTTCCGCCCACCATGCATGAATACAGGGATAGCATTATGCTCCTTCCTTAGTCTTCTTATTCAAAGATCATACCAAATAAAGTTTTAGTCACGTGATTAAGCTTGACCGGCACAGCGTTGCCCGCTTTTACATATTTTCTTTTAATCAAAATATTTTAGGAAACAAAAATTAATTAATTATAAATATATAAACAGTTATTATTTACATCAACATAACTCACCTCTTTAAGAGCACTTACGGGACATAAAGGGTCATTACTATATACCGCTGTCCCGTTTAAAATATTCTAATAAAATTGCGTTGAGTTTTTTGCAACGGTTATTAAGCTATCTCAAACACTTTGCACTAAAAAGGTTCAAAAAAGAACAATGTTCGACTGCAAGGTTTGCTAGTAAAAATATTTAAGCTTAAAATATCACAACACAATTCATTTAAACCAAAAACACGTAATACAACACTAAAATGTCAAAACGATTCAAAATGTCTGGAAATAAATAAATAAATATGGCAACTTGACATTTTTTACAGCAGAGCTACCACCTGAATCCCCAGCGGGAAATTAAAATTCCAGTTAGTCAGCCCGGCGCGACGAATATGTCCACGGTTGGCAACAATGGATTTAAAAACCGCGCCCTCGATTACGTAACTAAAAGTTTAATTGGTATCGCTTATATTTAAACTTTTTCCAGAAACTTGGTGTTCCTGTTGAAGGGAAAGTTCGCGTTCAGCTGAACTTGCGGATTCAACAAGCCCCCAATATCAACCCGGTCAAGGATTTTAAAACGATGGTGTTTCCTGTTATGTGGCTAGAAGAGGTAGGTTCGAATCCCATATTTCTTTCACAAAATTTAACAGAGTTTAAGATAACAAATTATTAACTGGGAAAAGGCGATTTTAGGAAATTTTCGTACCTTAGAAAGGCAATATGGAGGCTGAAAGTTTATGGTGTGAAAATTCTTTACTACTTTATACTTGTCTAGAAGTATGAATTTCTGTAACAAAAATCTTAATTAAGTGATCTTATTAAAATCCTTATTAATTTAACCTGATCAAACAACGCGAAGCAATTTTTTGGAAAAAATATCTATACCTATGTAGCGGATTCATTTCTCCAAAAAATCCTATATGAGTATATTATATATTTTCAGATCTAATCACAGTATAAGTGTAAAAAGGTGTTATAAAAAGTTTATTTTTTGTTGATAGGGCAAAAATAATATGTTTAGACGGCATTTCACTAAACAGAGATATAAACCACATAAAAAATACATTAATGAAAAACGAATATCCACCATATTTTATTGACAAAACATTAAACGGAATACAAACCCCAAATCATAGACACAATGATAACAATACACAATATAGACAACTTACAATTCCATACATACGAGGCGTTTCGGAAAAAAATACGAAGGATAGGAAAACAATCTTTCAAAAAACAAAATACACTTAGATCCATTTTATCACATACTAAACCAATAAATATAGAACAACAAATAAAAAATGTAATATACCAAATACCATGTGAATGCGATAAATTTTACATTGGTGAAACATCTAGACCCTAGACCAACTAGAGATTTGTCAGCATTCATGGGACAGAGGGCACAGAATAAATTTTAATAACGCCAAAATTATAATGAAAGAAGCGATTGTCTCTAAAAGAAAAATAAAAGAGGTTTTTTTTAATACAATCTAATAAAAATAAATGTATTGCTCATGCATCTGTAAATGTTAGTAATGTATGGCAATCGCTTCTTTGATTTTAAAGAACATACCATAAATAAACATAACATACGTAAAAATTAAAAATAATCATACAGAAAGTTTGGGGCGTTTTGGTTTTACTTTATTAAGTAATTGTTATCAGGTAGTAATTGTTAATTTCGAAGTTTAACTTGGATATAATGTCATTTTAACAGAACGTCAACGGTTTTTGTAGACGTATCTGTTTAAAAAAAAACTAAAGTGTTCTCGAATAGTTGGATTTAAATATTTTAAATAGTTTTTTTCTTTATTCTTTGTATTTTTTTTTGCTTCCGACGACGGAAAGAGATAAACTTTCCGAAACATTAAGCATCTGTAAATCTAACTTTTGATAAGTAGTTTCCGTTTGGGATTAAGGCAGAAGTGTTTACAAAAAAATAACTATTTTATCTTAAAGATTTTCTTGCAGTGGCGAAATACCCATATAGCATTTTTTGAAGAGAATTTTTTGTAATGCATCAATTTTATTTCAAATATATACATTATACAAACAACTTTTGATCAAACTTTATATGATAGGATGTTGTTTCATGTCTCAATGATTATTTTCTAAATATATATTGACAATTAACATTTTTCAGGGGATCGATGAACTGACACCACCGATCCGGAGATGGTTGTACGTGGCCACTACGTTTGCCGATGTAGCCTGTCCTCTAATGACCTACGGCTTTATCATTTTCGGCAGTTGTCTGATCATAGCTGTCTTTGTTAACGCCTACAAGTCGATCATGTTCACGAAGAAAACAATTCAAATCGGTATGAAAAACTTAAGAAGGGGCAGTCTACTGATCAGTTCTAACAGGTAAGTAACTTACTTGATTGTAAAGTAAATAGGTACTCCGAATCAATGGGCACCTACCCCAGCATCTTACGTATAACTTATCTTGGAGAAAAACTATCGAAAAACAAGAAATAATAATCTTATCCGATAGTCAAGCAGCTTAAAGGCGGCCGTCTTTGCGAGCAAAACTAAACTAAGCTAATATAGAAAGAAACGGTAACTAAACGGAAATAAGTTTCATCGGCCACTGGGAACGATTTTTGCTTAGTAGTCAGCTAACTTAGCTGCGTTTTCGTATTGTGTCTCTGCTATCATAGAACTAATCGCTGCGAAAAATTCGCTGGAATCTGTCACGAACTAAAACGAGCGAAACTAAACTACGATTTGAATCTTCGTTCATATATTTTCGTTTAGTTTCGCTCAAGTGGCCGCTGGCGCATTTTAAAAGTATGGGAGCTGATTTTTACATATCTTATCTTCGCTTGGCTTAGTTAGTTGTTGTTTAGTTGTTTAGTTTCGCTCGCAGTGGCCGCCCGCCTTAAAGACAGGCGGCCACTGCGAGCTTAACTAAACTAAGCTATAAATAGTAATAATAATAGATAATAGAATATAAAAAAACGGTAACTAAACGAAAATAAGTTTCATCGGCCACTGGGAACGATTTTCGCTCAGTAGTCAGCTAAGTTAGCTGCGTTTTCGTTTTTAGTTTTTAGTTCGTGACAACGAACTAAAACGAGCGAAACTAAACTACGATTTAAATCTTCGTTCATATATTTTCGTTTAGTTTCGCTCAAGTGGCCGCTAACGCATTTAAAAGTATGGGAGCTGATTTTTACAAATCTTATCTTTGCTTGGCTTAGTTTAGTTTCGCTCGCAGTGGCCGCCCGCCTTAAAAGCGATCAACTCAGCTAGTAGAAAATACCGTATGATCGAATAAAAACGGCGTCCAGTTGGCTTGGAAATGACGATCGATGACATTTCCCATATAAATTTACATATGAAATGACAGCGATCTTTATTTCATAGCCATCGCTGACGCCGTTTTTATTCGAGGTGGCTTTATCCTGACGAAAGTTCAAACTGTCGAAACTTTCGTGTAGTATCGGGGGCGGTCGTGCGGAACCGACTGTAAACCGCCTAAGCGCCTCCTCCTTTCTTCGTTTAGGATATGTCTAGGCCGAGACAGAATAAAAACGTGTTCTTCTTTCAAATTTTTGGGCAAATAGACAAAAATTTGACGTTTATCCCTAGATCATATATATATAGAAATACATTTTTAAGATATTTGTATATAAATTATATATGATCTGGAGATTTATCATGTTACGAGCAGATTTTATTCAAATATTAAATTAATTTTCAATAGCATTATGTAATAGCCTTGATTATAGATGATTATATATAGACAAGGGTAATAGTTAATATCTTTTATGGGTAATTACCCTTTTATGTAAAAATTTTTTAACAATGAATGATTTTGAATGTAATATTGATTTTGATTTAGTGCTACATTTATGATGTTTTCATAATGTTTTCCGTCAAAAGCAATTTATATTTATGAATTAGTTTTCAGCGGAGGGCTTTAGTAAAAAATTCGAACCTTAGTAACCGTTTTCTTTTTGCCAAAAAGGTAGATATTTTTTTATGTTAGAAGTTATAACTTAATTGGGCATTAGGCATCAAAATAAACATATGAATATCTTGCCTTGGTGTTTGTTGTCTACTTTAAGTGGTACTGAATTTATTAAAATAAACGTTGTTTTCTACATTTCTGTTTTATTTCAATAACAAAATACTGGTCCTACACTAGTGTAATAACAAAGACATCTAAATTTTAGCCGAACACACGCTGACCATTTTATAATCTGATTTGGTCGATTTATGATAGAATTGCAGGAATTGTATCACCTTCAACGAAATCAGCTAAGAAGTATTTAAAATATTAAAACAAAACCTTAGAGGGAAAAAATAAAAGGCAAAACCGATTTTTAAAAGAATTTAATATAAGTATTCCAAAAAAAATATTTTAACGCCACATGATGTAACACAAAAAGTAGGTAAACATCAGTTATAAAAAAAACATTAGAAATTTATACAGTATCCTTTAAGCTAGGCTCACGTTTTTCTGCAGAAATAAGTATTTCAATTCAACACATTCACTATCACAATAACTACACTAACTATATCAACTGGTTAAGCTCCGCATTATGAATATTCTTCACCCGGTCCTATTTTCAAAGTGAAATAATGTAATTTTGATCCTGATTTATAAACAATATTATTTCAATGAAACTTTTGCTTTTAATTTTCCTGTCATGCTGGTAATTGCTTTGGATTTGTATTAACATTTTCAGGGTTAGAGTTCAGTATAGTTTGATGTTGAAACCCTTTCTAACACAATCTCAGCTTCAGGTTTACATACTATTCATACGCTGTAGATTTTTGACCTAAAAGAATCACTAAATATAGAAAAACTATGGGGAAAAAGTGTTTATCATAAGCCTTACTTTTTGCTTTGATAAGGATATGGCCTGCAACTTTAGGCTTCCATAATCACTAACAAAATCTTGCTTTAAAATATTTGAACACACGTCTCCTATTTCCTTTTAATTTCTGGAAATTTGTAAGATTTCATGGTGAACACTACTAATAATTTCCTCCGTGTTTCTTATATCTTTGAAAACTCCACCGGGCAGTCTGGGCTAGCATTTAAAATAGATATCAAAACTAAGGGCTTCTATTTTCTATGTTATTCACAAGTTAAATGTTTGGTTTGTACCGATTCCGCATTTCTAGGCTTTCAGGTTCTAATTTTGCAAGATAACTTTACATTTTAAAGTATTTTAAGTGTACATTTCAACCAAAAACAAATTGCGTTGACTTTTGTTTACAATTTAAAATACAAATAGCGAGGGGAGGAGCCGAGATTCGATAACTTCCAATCGGGACCATTCGGTCTACCGTTCGCTTGCGTTCGGGTTTTCGATAACTTGGGCTTTCGAGAGTTTATGGTTCTCCCTTTTATTCGATCATACGGTACTTATAATAGGGTTTGCTGTCTAATCGAATGTTGATGTCTTCATAAGAAAAACAGAATTCGGCAATAGTTCGTCGGGTATTTGTAGAAGAATTTAATTTGTCTTTGTTTTATACTATTTTTGTGCGTCCGGATTTGACACTTAATAGAATAAACAAATAATAACTTGTTGTCATATAACATATAAAGTGTCAATTGGATTTCCAAGGCAAACTTGATCTTTTCAGCGAATTTTTAAAAAATCTAATTTTTAGTGAATTTACATAATAATGAATAAAAATTAGATACCACCGTATAGATTATTTTTTGCTCTAATAGGATAAAAATTCAAAATGGCGGCCATAAGAAAACAAAAATTTGACTGTTGTGCGAAATCTAGAAGGCTTAGAAATTTTCTGAAAACGGCATTTAATTGGCGGAGGTCAATAATATAAAACTACCAACTTACATTGCAATAGATACAATAGTTCTGAAGATATTGTTATTTAAAATAAACGTATTTTTTTAATTTTTTTGACATAAATCCGAAACTAATCAGGATACCGGGGTTTTCTTCATAGGTATTCTTTAAACTTCTAATTATGCAACTTTTGTCACATTCGTATTTCTCGTAGTGTCTGAGATGCCAATGTTAAGTATCGAAATTGTCACCACCCTGTATAATCTAAAGTATTATCACAGCTTAATCATACCCAGCCTGTCGACTCACTATCATTTGCATGGAAACCTGCGTAATACCTAAATATAGTTCATACCAATTAAAACAGGTAGAATTTTTAGTCACGTGATTAAGTTTGACCAGCACAGCGTTGCCCAATTTTACATATTTTCTTTTAATCAACTGAGATTTAATTTTTTAAATAAATATTTTAGGAAACAAAAATAAATTAATTGTAAATATATAAACAGTTATTATTTGCATTAATAAAACTCGCCTCCTTAACAGCACTTAAGGCACATAAACAGCCATTATTTCTCATTTAGCATTTATTCCTCATTGCGATGAGTTTTATACAGCGGCTGTTAAGCTGTAATTTTGTACACTTTGCACTAGAAGAGGTTCTAAAAAGAACAATGTTCGACTGCAAGATCTGCTAGTAAAATATTTTAAGCTAAAAGGATCACAACACAATTCGTTTAAACATAAAAATCGTAATATAAAACTAAAGTGTCAAAAGAAATGACAATGTCAGGAAATAAATAAATAAATGTGGCAACTTGCCATTTTTTACAGCAGAGCTCTCACCTGAATCCCCAGAGGGAAATTTAAATCTCAGTTAGTCACTCCGGAGCCGGCGCCGAATATGTCCATGGTTGGCAACAATGAATTTAAAGATCGCGCACTCGATTACGTAAACAAAAGTTTAATTGGTATTGCTTATATTTGCTTATCTTTACAGCTCGCATTTGTCTACGAAAGTACTAGAAAAAAAAACGAATACTGAAAAGCAAGCTAAGACGACCAGCTGGTCGTAAATAAGCTGTGGTCTTTTTTGAGAGGTGTTTTTAATATGGTGTGTTTTTCTTTTAATTTCAGGTTAATATCCAGAAGAGAGACTTACACGCTTCTAGAATTTCCAGATGTTGACGCTGACGGTGAAGTATAGGAATAACAAGTCATAGATCGTTTAAATTTGAGGGAGTAGACTAATAAAATGCATCTAGCGCAAAGAGTTCGGATCGTCTCAGCTATTGCAGATTCTTGCCGACAATGTATTTTTTTCTTTATATGTGATCAATCGATGGGTTACCTTATTGTTTTTATCGCGCGACAAAACTTATTTGGGACGCTTGTGTAAATATTTAGTCGTCTAAACAAGGCGCGTTTTCAAGTCAGCTGATCAAGTCTGTTGAATTTATTTCGCATGATCGTTGAATAAAAAGATAAAGAAGGAGCATACCAAAAAACTTTAGAATCTAAATTCTACCAATAAAATTAATATCGTATCAACGAATCGTCGGACAACGGATGCAAATCAAGCTTAACGGATGCATGAAAATCAAGCTTAAACACCGATTATTTTTTCAAGTTAGTTGAATTCCTGTGACTTGATCAGTTTACTTGACTCCTGGAAACGCACCTTAAGTCATACTTGGCATGTACAAGTCGAGTTTTCTTATACAGAGGTAGATATTTTAAGTTTAATTGACCAAAAAGTTGTTCTTTTAATTAAAAAAAAAACTTTCTTTCTTTGGAACGAGAGAATGATAAAATATTCTAGAATATTTAAGTTTGTATTTATATAATTTTAAATATAGTTAGGTAAAACTTACTCGAATTGGTAATTACTTCAAAAATGTCTTATTGTATGTAGTATGAAATTATGTACAGGGTGGGCCAAATTGGACACTTTTAAAGAGAAACACTCTTTTCTATAGGAGATAGACGAAAACTAATATCGATGTCTGGAGCTCAATTTTTATCAAAAACCATGATGGGAAAATCCGTACATCGAAATCTATTAACGTTTCGGAGTTACGGGGTGTTGTTCAAAAATGTGCGTTTTTAATAAATCGCTGTAATTTTTTTGGTATGGAAATTTTTAAATTTTTATGAAAACATTTCCAAAGCAGCTTTTTAAGTACCTTAAGTACAATTTACTGAAAAACTTTAAAAGTGTTCAATTTGGTCCACCCTGTACAGTTTATTTTATCAATAGCTTTTACTATATAAAAAAGTAAACTGTATTACTTTGGGTTATACCCAAATACGTTTAAATTAAAATTTCTTTAAACGTATTTGGTTATACCGTATGATCGAATAAAAACGGCGTCAGCGATGGCTATGAAATGAAGATCACTGTCATTTTATATGTAAATTTATATGGGAAATGTCATCGATCGTCATTTCCAAGCCAACTGGACGCCGTTTTTATTCGATCATACGGTATTTTAGACTATTCCAAATTTTTTGGATGCAGTGATTGCAGAAAATGCAGTTTGACAGGTTAAAAAAATATCATGCCTTTTATTAAGATATTTTTTATTAATAAAATACATACATATAAATTTTAGTCGTTGCGAAGAAAAGTATTTTGTATTTTTGTAATCTCTTTCGTTATACTTCTATAATTTTTATTCTTAAATCTGTTTTTCTAAACAAAAGACAATTATCTGATTGTAGTGTATTTTGTGCGAAAGTAGACTTTCTGTATATTTTATATTTAAGTACCTAATGTTTATGGTTCAACCTGTATTTATATATAGTATGATTTGTTTTTAGGGGTTTCAGAAAAAAGCAAATAAGATATTTCCTTGTTTTTAAGGTACATTTTCCGGCTCACCCCCTGTAACTTTTTTAATTTTTCAGATAAAAAAACGAGATTTGGTATGTTAGTGTATGACGTGAGTGAGGATTGAGTGACGTATTCAATTAGTTTTGTTCACTTCCTGTTTCACCGGAAATGACTATAACTTTTTATTTTTAAATTGTACCTTCGGTATTTTTTTACTTTATTTGATGGATCATGATGTTCTGAATAGAATGACATATCATATGCCAAATTTTGACATTTTCCAATGTACAAATTTTTTTATTTTTTCCAAATATGCTAATGAGCCACTCTCGTTCCATTTGAAAAAATTGAGTTACGTTTAAAAATACGATTTGGGCATCTTTTAACCGGTCTGGGCAAGACACTAAAAACATTAGACGATCAAATCTATTTTTCCAAGGATCATTGACTAAAAATTAGTGTTTTTAACACAGCCATGGCACTCTATTTTTAAGCGAAAATGTCAGAAGTTGACATATATACTTTGATATGTCATTCAGAGTGGCTTTTTCTATCGAATAAAGTAAAAATATACCGAGAGAGCCATTTAAAAATCAAAAGTTGTAGGTTGTAGTCATTTCCGGTGAAACAGGAAGTGGCCAAAGACAACTAAATACGTCAATCAATTCTAATTTATGTCATATAATCAATCAATCAATCAATAATTTATTTATTTCCATAAAACAATATACAATTGTATAGGAATCTACATATATAAAATGCTAATGTTTATCTGTGTCGTCTCTACTGAAGTAACGACTTGCTCTAGAAAGCTAATTGGCTCTTCTAAAAACTGTCGCCGCCGGATTTTTTATTTTTCATTTAATTAAAAAAAAATAAAAAGTATTGTTTTTCCTGATGTCGTGGCGGATGCGCCAGGCTTCAACTAGTAGTCAATAAATTCATAAAGCTAACGCAAATATATAATACAAAATATACAAAAACAAACACAACAGACCCTAATAAAATTATTAAGTACTCGTAGGTCTCATATTACGATTTGCAGGTATTCCTCCACACTATAGAAGTTCATTCCCAACAAATATTTTTTTAAATTTAACTTAAATTTATTTAGTGTATTACAGAATTTAATTTTAATAGGAAGATTATTAAACATATAAGGTCCTATATTGTGTGGCGATCGATAAGCCACGTACCTTAGATTTACAAATGCTTATATGCAAATCTAAGGCACTTCTAGTACTAAATCTATGTACATTACAATTTCTTTTAAATTTATCATAGTTGGGAAAAACGAATAGACACACTTCGGTTAAAATACTAAATTTGTTAAAATAGTCTCTACAACTCTGTGAGGGCGCTATAATACCTGCCAGAGACCGTATTCATTACTCTTTTGAGTAATGAAGACATCTCGGTTGACCAACCCCAAACACAGACACCGTATCTCACTCTTGCATCGACATTCGCAAAATAAACTTGTTTTAATTGATATATTTTAATAGCATATCAAATCTCGTTTTTTTATCTGAAAAAATAAAAAAGATATATTCAAGAAACACCCGGTATACATGAAATCTCTAAAATTGCAGAATAATAATTATTATTGAAATATTCACAAAATATAAAGAATATTTTTGTCATATATACACCTGGCAAATGTAAAACTTCTATTACTACTTGTTGCTGAAGGTGATATTATTGTTCAAAACATTACTTTTCATTTTTTTAATAGTAATTTAAGACAATTTTATTTTTATCTAGAAAAAAATATTAACGACCAACCAAGTTGGTGGTATATGTGTATGTTGAAAGTCAACTCTAATCATTTTAATTGTATATAATGTTTTAAAGATATTTGTGCTTGTAGTATATAAAAACTGTAAAAAAATTGTAAAAACTTTTGTAGCAATATTAAAATTGTGCAGCATATAATATTAAAACATTGTATGCAAAGTTTAAATGTGATATACTCGACAGTCTTTATATGATTAAATCAATTATTAATGCAGAGTTGTGATAATTGTTCAAATAAGTATGAGAAACAATTATTAAGGCATGGCCAGAACCAGTGTAGTGGATCCATGAAAAATTTATGTATAAAAGTATAATATATTAATTTGGATCCCTCACTGTCCAAACCACTGAAATTTAAAAAAATTAGGTATAGTGGCGACTAGTCAATATAAATTTCAAAGAGAAGAAATTATTATATTTTATATATGCATTAAAACATTCCAGTCTTCCGTATTGTATTATTTTATATTTTTGTGCAGTAAAACAATTGTTTCTTATATTTTAATTAAAGACTATTATTTAGATTAGATTTTTGTATGATTCAATTTTCAGAGACTTTAGCCAGGTTAGAGGTACTTTATATAGACGTATTGCTCATTTAATGTTATTGTTACCTAAGAATTTTTGTATATAAAAATGTTTTTTTTTAAATAAATTCCGCGTTTCACTTCTTTTTCCTATAGTTGAAAAATAAAAGCAGTGCATATATTATAAAAGAAAAATGTTTACTAAGATAGATTTCATATACAGGGTATTGGAAATAAATTTCAAATAAAAACAATTTCAAATTTAAAAAACAAAACCGTAAATTTGCTGGTTGGTTGATTTACTAATGCTTGTCAAAATGACCTTTGTGGATTACCTTAGGAATTGAAAAAAAATCTAAAAAAGTAAAAAACATTTTATTTCAAAAGTACCTATTTTTTTCAAGAGTACAGTTTATTTCAAAAGTTCCTTTTTAATTTGTTTTTAATAATGCACCTATTCTCTGTTTCAAAATTTCCTCACCTTTTCCAAAATGGCGCCACCTGCATTCTTCTTCTTTTTCGTATTTTAAGCCTTAAAAGAACTGTATCCACAGATAAAAATAAAGTTCTTCTTTTTTTATATTTATGGCTCGAAACATGGCTAACCACAGACTCGACAATGATTTTCTCTTCTTTTCTCTCATATGGCTTGAACTCATATAGGTTATCTGGTCAGTGTCCTAAAGAAAATAACCAAAAGGGGTGTCTGTAAATTGTAATCTATGGTTAATTATTAGACAAAGACAACACCAAATAAACAAGTACAGAAAGTGTAAATAAATAACAAAATAAAATACAAGAAGCAAAAAAAGGAGAATGTTTCTACGTTTTTAACTATTTTGTGTAAGTTTATAGATAGATGTTATAAAATTTAATATAAAATATAGCGAAGTAAAGTTATCAACAATGCCCAAAGTAGTATCTAGAAGTATTGCTTGTTCTGATACAAAAGATCAAGAGGAATATGGAGATGAAAAACCCTTACATATTTATTACTGTCTGTGCGGCCAAATGACTCTTATTTTAGGTAAATTTCAATAAAATCATACATTTCTTTTCTTTAATAAGTAATCTTGAATTTTAGATTGTTCTATAGAGAAGCTTCCACTGCGTAAACGTGATGGTGCAAGGGTTCTAGATGGAACAAATCATGCTCATAAAATAACATGCGATTCAGACGAGACAGTGTATCTGAAAAGACCAGAAGGGATTGAAAGACAATTTAGGTAGATATAACTTTGGTTTTGTAGGGATATGATCATTTATATTTATTTTATTGTAGATTGAAATGTAAAAAATGTGGGTTACTGCTGTACTACAAACACGAAGCTCAGAGTCCTGTAAGTTTCATAGTGCGGGGATCTCTGATTACATCTACTAACGAAGGACCGATTACAGATATCTATAACCAAGTAATTCTTGCTTGTTTTAATATATGCTAAGGATTAATTGATTTTAATGTATTTTTTTAGGTTGCTGTAGAGAAACCGAAGAAAATTATGGTCACAAAACACACTAAAAATATGGGAAAATTCAGTTCAGTAACAGTCTCGACAATTGACGAGGAAGAGGACGAAATTGAAGCTGTAAGATTTTTTATTTTAATTATTTTATTTATTAATATTCATTCCATTTAATGAGTTTTATGGGTTTTCTCATTTATGAGTGTAGATAGGTGTAAGATGCATTAAAAATGCATTTTATAATTGATGAAAATAAATATAGAGTATGTTATATTTTTAGAAAGCTCAAAACAAGGCAAATAAAATTAAAAAAACAATATACAAGGTGTCCCATTTAAAAAAAACATAAGTTTTGGTTGTATTTCAAGAATGAATCATAAAAAAGTATTACAGTAATGTGTATCTTTACTCATAAACGAGAAACCCTGTAAAACACACGAAGGTGGGACACCTTGTATACAGAAATTATTTTTTTTTTTGTAGAGAGAAGTAGCTGATAGTTATGCAAACAATGCAAGAATTATCGAAAAACAATTAGAAAGAAAAGGAACAAACAAAAGGAAACAAGAACAGAATAAGGCACAAGAAATTAAGAAAGTTCGAGGCACATTAATTGATAAATGACTTGATACTAGTTGTGATAATTTTTTAAACATTATATAGAAATAATCTTAATATTTATTAGATTATTATTAGGGTGTAAATAAATGAATAAAATATAAAAAGTATTTAAAATAATTCATTCCTGATTTATTATCAATTCTTAACAGTACTTCCATTGCACAACATTTATACAATTATATACAAACTCTTAAAAATATAGTACCGTAAGATCGAAAAAAAACGGCGTCCAGTTGGCTTGGAAATGACGCGCGATCGATGACATTCCCCATATAATTTTATATATAAAATGACAGCTTCGTTTCATAGCCATCGCTGACGCCAGTTTTTTTTTTAATTATATTCTATTTATTATACACGAAAATATTAGGTCTATATTTACAAAGCATCTTTTGCAAAAGGTCTTTAAATTTATTTGTTATACTTAGGCTACGCGCTGAGTGCGCTGACATGCAATTTTTGGTCGGCCGATTATTCACGGCGATTGCGCATTAGACCTGCTCCATCTGTCTAAATTATTTTCAGCGTTACAACGTTGCCGCATCATTTGAAAAATGGTAGTATCTTTCTTATTTTAAATGGAACACCCGATATATTATTACATTTTTCGAAATTTCTTTCATACTTCATAAGTTTTCTATTATGTAACCTATCTCTAATATTTTTTGAGATAATAAATAAAACGTTTAAAATTGACAAAAACATGTTCTTGAATAAGAATTGGTAAAATCATGAATTGAACATTTGAAAAGTTGAAATTTGGATAATAAATTATCGAAAGTGATTTAACCAACGCTTATTCAAGATCATATTTCTGTCAATTTTACACAATTAATTTTTTATCTCGACAGCTATTAAATATATGTAGGTATAGGTTAATATAATAGAAAAATTACGATATGAAAGTGGTTTAGAAAAATGTAATAATATACCAGGTGTTCCTTTTAAAGTAACAAAGATGCTACCACTTTCATTATGAAAGGGCAACACTGTAATGCTGAAAATAATTTAGACAGATGGAGCAGGTGCCTTTATACAAAAAAAATCACTGGTTCTCCATAAACGTCTAAAGTACCATGACTGAATCACCCTGTATAATCGGCCGACCAAAAATTGCATGTCAGCGCTTAGCCTGAATCAAGAAAAAAGTCTTATCGAGTTGTAAAAGTAATAAAAACTAGGCTTCTTACCAAAAGTTGAATACAATTCGGACCACCCTGTATAATACGACTAAAAAAAAGACAAATAACCAATAATTTTCTTACCAATCGTTACCTTAACTTAAAACTCATATCAGTTGCCTCATCATTCATAAAACTGCCAGCGTTCATATCACTTCTTTGAGACGAATCACATCTCTGTGAATTAGCTGAATAATAATTAATTAACAAAAATTAAATACTTCGCGATATACAGCATCATTTTACTTATAAAAATATATACACAAAACTATGTAATTCGTACGATTTAAAAGACAATTTTTCGATATACGTTTACTACATATTTTGACTAGAACTGTTTCTCATTTGTTAAACAGCAGTGGCGTGGTTTCTTGTGCTGCCGGCTGTGGGTAGCGGTGGTTGGATACCCTACAATAAAAATAATATTTAAATAATCGTTAATAAAGTTATTTTACCGTGTTTCATAGTTAATGGAGTTAAAGACAGCGGCGTAGCGTGGCGCCAATACAAGGGGATACATTTTACCAACACAATAAAGTTTTTTTCTTTTTTTTATTAAAGTTTTTTGAAAAAAGGTAAAGGGTAAAAAATTATCAAACCGATTTAAAAAAAATAAATTTAGACAAGAAAGCAAAGTTGTGAAACTATCTGTTAGATAATATAAAAATTTATAGAGTGCCTTACAACCACATAACTAATAGTGTTCACTTTTCTAAACATTTTCACTAAAATGACGAATACACGATTTTAATTTAGTATTAATATTCAAAATATGCGTTGGAAGTCCTTCAAGAGTTTTTTAATTTTTCTGAATACACCATAGATCTAATGGATGATTGCCACCAACAAAAACCTGTTAAACACATATTTTAAAATACCCCTTGAATAAACAGATGAAAGGAAAGAGCATATCAAAAAAAATATGGTTTAGGGTAGACTCAATAATTTGTTGTTTATTTTACGTTGTCAATAAATGTTAGTGTTAATGTTGTAGTAATTAAAATTGTTTATAAAAATAGATAAGTTATAATTATTAGTTATTAACACAAATATCCGATACGCTACTTCAACAAACAAGTAAGTCAAATTGACGTATCTAAATTCTTTGACAAGTAGTAAATAAAAGCAAAAATGCAAGAAAAAATATTTAATTAGTTAATTTTAAGTGAATTTTATAAATGACCAGTTTACTACACGTATGTATATTATACAGGATGTTAACTGGACGGTTACTTATTGGGGAAGGGAATGGCAACACTGCCTACATTCCAAATTAGTACTAAGCTAAGCTGCCGATTCGTTCCGTCGCGTCGTCTCTCGACGAGCGGACCGAGGTTGCCATATTTCAACCATAAAGCTCTTGCCGCGAGTAATAAACAAATTAACAACCTGTATAGTCGCTTACTAGTGAGCGATTCCATTATTTCCCTTCATTTTTGACCGAGATCTACAGCACCACAGCTACACAACCAACTATTTTAAAGTCTTTTTCAATAAATCGCAATAGCTTCACCGTTATTTAAGTTCTGCCACAAAAAAAATCCTTCTAGAATTACTACCTCTAAACAACTACCAGTTGTAGAGTGAAATTAATAACATAAAATAAGGTCAGTAGACAGACAAATCCACAACATTTCAAATCAAATTGAAATATGTCAAATGAATCCTCAAACAGAACTGTCAAGGATCCCTACCCTATTATACTCCTTCCTAAATCTTTTTATTCAAAGAAATTATCAGTAATATTTCCAACTGTTATAATAATTTTGCCAACCCCTATTTTATGAAATTGCCACCAATGAATTTTAAGAGTTTGATATCATAAAAATGTATGTGTACAGAAAAGTCCATAGACTTCGAGAGATAGGAAAATCAAGTCCATTTAGCGTGTGTCCAAATTTTGACAAGTTTTCAAAAATGACAGTTTTGTTTAGACTGACGTTTAATTTCACCTGACCTCTCGGTGAATGATTCCTTTTTAAGGGGGTACATAAAATCTAAAATTTACGGCCATGAAGAAATTCAAAACTTGGAGTAGTTAAGGCAGAAAATATTTAATGCCTTGACACTGTCACCCCTGATATGTTATCCAATGTGAGGAGGGGATTTTATGATCGTTTGAGTTATTGTTTAATGCAAGAGGGAGGCACACATTTTTGAACAATTTTTGTAATTTTTTAAATTTCATTATACTGTTTTTTTTTACCGTTTACCCATTACCTACCTTGACGAACATGGGAAAACAAAGGTCCTTTTCAGGACCACAAATATTTTGATTGAGAAATTTGTTACTTTTATTTTTTTGGATTAAAAAAACAAAAGCTGTTAATATAATAACAATTTAAAAGTGTTTTAGTAGTTTTAATACACTCTATGATATAAAATTTATTATTATTATAATGTACATTATTAATACTATTATTCATTCGAAATGGCATTAAGGCCCAATTGCACCAATAATTTAAATTTTTCTTGAAGATAAGTAGAGCTTAGAATGAGCCGTATTTATATTTACTTTAATATTCACCTTAAATGAGGGAATTTGACTGATACAATTTTTGAATTTGAATTGTTTTTAATGACACTAACAATTTTAGTTCATTTTTTAATAAAATTTATTTAATATTAATAGAAATCTAAGAGGTTTGAAACCTCTTTTAGCAATTTATAACATTCTCAAATGAATTACAGGTGCCCTTATTTTCTATGAAAACCACACAGTTTTTTAAGGTGTGAAAATTGCGATACACGCTAAATGGACTTGATTTTTCCTATGTCTCGAAGTCTGTGGACCTTTCTGTATATATATAAAGAAAGAAAAAAATTTGAAATAGAAAAAGTTAACTTTACGTTTTATATTTCAATACAGTTTCGTCTTCAAATGTATTCCTCTGCCGCATTTTATCATATCCTCAACTGATTGCCTATTCCTGTTAATATTCATGATTTACACGCTTTATTTCTTTACCGGTATTTGTTCGGATTTAGCCCTATAAAATTTATAATTTCATTTAAAATATATTTTATTATCTACATATATATTTATTTTTCATCTTAGTGTCCCCTAATATAGCAAGTTAAATACTATTAACAACATTATTATAATTAGCCATGCGACATAATATTTTTTGAGATCAATTTTTAATAAACGAAGATATACCATCCTGGACACTCCATCTGCGTGGTCTGTATTTTAACGCATGCGACAGGGATAAATATAAATGACCGGTTAACAGACAGAAAGAAAATATAAAGCGGCATACAGTGTTGCCGGTTTTTTACGCGTGTAGAAAAAAATTAACTATTTTAAAAATTTTCATGTATACATACTACTAAAATTAAGATAATATATCTAAACTAAATATAATCTATTACAGCTGTATTGTGAAAAATAAAGTTCCACTTTTCGTACACGCCTACCTGTGCGTTTTGAAATTTTGATAGAAAATGCGGCAATACCGCATAGAAGAAACGTATCAACCCAACTCTTGTCTCTTTTTAATACGTTTGATTTTTCATTAAGCTGTCTACATCACTGTCTTACACGTTAAAATCCGGACTGCGCAGTTTTAATGACCAGATCGGTATATTAAAACTTACCGAATGTGTTGCCTGTAGAACAGACCTATTAAAAATACTACAGAAAGCAAGAGGCATTTTTTTCGTATAATATGATTGATCGCTCGTTTTTCTACTTGACAGTAGGACTTTTTCTAGTCTGCATCTTCTTTAATACTAAAGGATGACGCACACGAGAAATATCATACAAAACAACTTTCATTTTATTAAATCTCATTTTTTCAATGCAGTTGGTAATTGACTTACACTGATTGACTTCTGAATCCTCCATATCATGTATAGTTCATACCAATTAAACTTTTAGTCACGTGATTAAGCTTTACCGGCACGACGTTGCCGGTAAATTTAAATTGCACAATCAGCACGGCACCGAATGTATATACGGTTGGCAACAATGAATTTAAAAATCGATTACGTAACTAAAAGTTTAATTGGTATCGCTTATATATTATGCCTGAACAGTAGAAGTAGACTCTTGAGAGTCTACTCTTACCGTTCAAGACGACTTCTTAGACTACAGATTCAATCAAACTCACTTATTAGCATGCTGAGTATGCAACACCAGCGTACTGGCTCGCATATTGGAAGCTCCCGTAAAGAAATCGGGCCCTTCGGCTTTCCAATTAAACATGCTCTTTCTCGCGAGATTCGACTTGCTGGGCAAGGCAGGCAACCCTATCGAAGAGGTCCTGAAGATGGGCAAAGAACGCGCATCCAATTCCATGCTAGACATAACTCCTAGATCGAACACTGAAAAAAAATTATTAAATTAAAAAGAAACGTAGAGTCGGTTGAGCGATCATTCAACGTTACGTCATCATTATTTGTCAAATATACGTTTTAGGGTGTGTTATTAATTGTCTAGAATTTGATATCTATAGAAAAAATACCGCTACATGCGATATGTTGGACAAAACAGCTTAAAAATAACAGGTTTCTTTATTTTATTGCTAAATATTTGAAAAAGTGTGAGGCGGTCACCGCCCGGAGTATTAACGCAGTTGCAAGTTGCAACAATGACGTGCTCGGTGGTAGTATTTCCAGGGTGTCAAAACATTTCTCAATATCGATTGTTATCTAAAATGCCTCTCTAAAAACGGTGGTTGTTTACAAATAAGCGCTGTTTACAAATTGCGATATAAAAAAGCCAAAATGCCGCCACTCGTCTATACCTATACATTCCGATCTACCTACGCCCTGCCACTCGATCCGCGTAGATCCTGAATTACGTAGCAGTGTACAGGGTGCATCTCACTCGACGGACGAGAAGCTCTTAGTTATGATTTTACCATCTGCGGTTAAAAAAAGCAATATAAGAAAATATGCAGTATATTCTTCATAAGTAAATCAACTACACACTAGAGTTCGAATTAATTTTACACTTAAACTAGCGATTACCCGCGACCTCGTTCGCGTCGAATTAATAATTTGTAATGGTGATGATAAAGCGAAGCAAGAATTTCCATTTACAAACTGGATAAAATTTTCTCACATTTGCCAAAAATAAGCTTTAAACGTCGAGCAGTTTAAGCAGAATCGTGGTTAATGAATTACTCAGCTTTTTGGAACACCCTGTATGATTTTTTTGAAAAATTTCAAAATATGTAAAAAAAACAAAATAAATTATGCGTGTCCAAGCGTTGTCCCGAAAGACTAACCGTTTTTTAAATAACAAATATTGTAATATTTGAGGGGCATTTTCACCCTCTTGGAATTTGAGATTCGAGAAACCCCTCCTTATCGAACCTCTACACCCCACAGTCAATCCGTTTGCCAAAAATCAGGTTTAAATGTCAAGCAGTTTAAGCAGAATCGTGATTAATCAATGGTCATATTTTATGAAACACCCTGTATATATTTTTAAAAATCTTAAAATATGTAAAACAACAAAATAAAATATACGTGTTTAAGAGTTTTTCCGAAAAACTCACCGGATTTTAAATAAAAAATATTCTAATATTTGAGGGTGGTTTCACCCCCTTAGAATTCGAGGTTCGAAAAATCCCTCCTTATCGAACCTCTACACCCTAAAGTCAATCCGTTTTCCAAAAATCAGCGCCATAATATCTCGACCTCCGCCCGTTATGCTCGTAACAAGTTGAAAAACAATATATCTAAAACAACTGATGCGTTATTCTCCAACCTGTTTCGAAGCTCCATCAACAATCGAGCGATGCAGCAGCGTTACTTTCCCACTCCGATTATCTCGACCGCCGCTCTGTTATGCTCGTAACAGGTTGTTGCGAGCCTCTATCGACAATCGACCGATGTAGCAGCGTTCCTTTCCCACTCCTGTTATCTCGACCGCCAGGCGTTATGCTCGCAACTGTTTCAAAAAAGCTGCTGCTTTTATATCCCATTATTTTTAAGCTGTTGCAATCCCAACACGACCATCGACGGCATCGACCGATGCAGCTACGTTCGCCGCGCCGCGCTGTAGCGCATACCCCACTCCGTTTCCGTTGTATCTCGCCGCCTGTATCGATGGTTGTCGAAATAACATGTTTTCCATCTTCCATCCATACTCCATACTAGTTGTTTTTTGGAATTTCTTCGAGCAGCATCGAATTTGGTGGCGGTGCAGAGCGCCGACTTCGTTTCACGAACGGTCGATCTCTGCGTGTCGTTATTTTATATCTGTTATTTTTTAAAAGTAGTAACGGTTGCGTTATGTTATTTCTAAATAATTGTTATAAAATAACAGATAACTGAAAGAGAGAGACTGCACGACAACATATGACGTAACACTGAGCAATCGCCGAACAGAAAGTAGAATTTTTATGGGAAAACTAACGTTCATAGTCTCTGACTTCATCGTTTACGCTATCCACAAAACCTCGCACATCTCTTGGAGGATCCCATTCCGGATTCGTTGCGGTGAAATGCATCAAAGAGAGCTCGACTTTACCGTCTTCTGCTTGAGAATATTGATCGGTAGGCTCCTGCAATACAACATTTATAAAACATACATACATATTAGGGCGAGCCAAAAAAACTAACCTATGGAATTAATAGGTTAAAATGAACCTAATAACCGAGGAAAAAATAGGCTCGGAAGGCAGGATTTCTAGCTCACTTTTAAAAGGTGTCGGTGAACATTCAAAGTTTTCCGTTTAAATAACACGTAAAAAAATATTTTTCTATTAAAAGCGCCATAACTTTGAAAGGGTTTATGATAAAAAAATTTTCATCGCGGATTCTTGTAGAACATAAAATTTAATAAAAAATTTATCTGAGAGAAATTTTTTTCCACTCAATAATTCGTATATTTGAAAGCTTTGAAAAGTGAAAAGAATCAATTTTCAATCAAAATTCAATCAGTTTTAGTGTTTATTAATTAAAAATTTTCATATTTAGTAAAAAGAATCTATTACTCTCAGGTAGATTTTTTGGGAAATTTTATGCTCTAGAAGAATCCGCGATGTAAATTTTTTATCGTAAACCGTTTCAAAGTTATGATACTTTTAATGGAAAGATTTTTTTTACGTGTTATTTAAATGGAATATTTGAATGTTCACCGACACCTTTTAAAATTAAGCAAAAATCCTGCCTTCCGGGGATATTTTTTTCTCGGTTATTAGGTTCATTTTAACCCATAAATTCCATAGGTTAGTTTTTTTGGCTCACCCTAATACATATATCTTTATATAGGACAGTTAAAGCACGGCAAAAAATTTGGACGTATCGACGTCCAAATTTTTGGTCGACAAGGGGATGTAATAAGCAACTGCAATTAACATTTTACCAGCCCAATAAAGTTCTTTTTTTTATTAAATACTTTTTTTATTAAATAGTAATTTTGAAGTTACAAAAAATGTAACAGGTTAAAAAATAATCAAACCAATTTAAAAAAAGAACTAAATTTAGGTAAAAAAAACAAAGCTGTGAAAGTATCTTTTTGATAAAATAGTAGACTAGGCCCAAGGACTGTATATATTCTAAAGGACTGTTCGATCGCGTCAAATCGCCGCTGTCGTAGTCGCCGTGGAATGCTACGTCACGCGCTGACCAGCGCTCCACAGTGCGGCGGATGGTTATTCTAGCGGGACAAAATCTCAAGAGCAATGTTTGGGACTTAAAATTTAAGAACGTAGCAAATGGTCTAATATATAGCAACTATATGGTTAAATTATTTATTTATTAACAACTTAATTTATTAATAAATAAATACAAGATAATAAAACTATGATATTATTCGTACATGACACACAAAAACCGTATTGTAAACTATTGCCAAATACAAATAATTATGATATCAAAAAACTCTTTAGCAGTTTATTTTTTAATTTTTTAATTAATTTGTAATCTTGTGACACCCTCCATAATTTATTTTAAAAAAGATAGATATTTTAATTTTAATTTTAACACTCGGTAATTGTAAATTCATATATAGTAAGTATCTAAGACAATTTTTTAAGCTCAGTGCCTTTTGATGGAGTTGTTTTATTTTTATACTATCCGATTGAAATGAATCTTTTTGGGCATTCACCTGTTAAGTTTGAACTCCCTGTGACTGTGACTACCTGTGTTGGTAACTATTGGTAACTCAAAAGATCTACATCATTCAATATATCGATATTTGAAAAAAAAGTGAAAGTTTGATATCTGCAGAACAAAGGCACGAAGGATTTTAACAAATAATATACGTACAGTAGAAAAGTACATACCTTTGGCAATCTTCAACATAATTTGGCTTTCTAATAAAATGTATAAGCACTAGTAAATATTTTGCTTTCGTATGATCTCTGCCTTGCTGAGCAGAAAACGACCAAATTTGGTTGATAAAAATGTATCGAAATACAAAGAATATTCATGCATTTTTGTATCAATTGGAATGTCTTCTATTTATTCTTATCAGTACATATTTTTTGGCTTATTTCTAACCAAACGCTTTTGTCCCGCTAAATTTATCTTCCAACGCACTGTGCGCTCGTCCGTCAAATGCAAAAATAACTGTCACTGTCTAAAATCTTTAGCGCCAACTTCAACTCGGTCAGTAGATGACGTAAAAAACTGACAGTGCAGAAAGATAGGAATCAAACTATCCTTATCTCTATAGTATCCTTGGACTAGGCCAACAAAAATGTTTATTGAGTGCCTTACAACCACATAACTAGTGTTCACTTTTATAAACATTTTCACTAAAATGCCGAATACACGATTTTAATTTAGTTTTAATATTCTTCAATAGTTCTTAATTTTGTGTATTCAGCACACATATACAGGGTCGCTTTTATGTATGGAAACGATCGATTATTAGGTAAAATATAGGAGGTACCTTGTGTGTATTTCGATTTTTGCTTCGAATTGAAGGAAGAATTGAAATATTCAATAATATCTATTTAAAAAATAAACTTTCACGAGCCACGACTTTATGACCGACCCTGTATACATAAATTTATTACTCGCCTATAGACATTTAAAAACCCTATAATTTTTGTATTTAACTTTTTACGGTTCCTTGTATACTTTATCTAATAATCGACAGTTTCCATAGATAACACCGATCATGTATACATATTTACATTGTCCTTATGGGCACTTTCCAATCTAAACTTGTTTTATTTATCTATGAAGTTCAGTTCCTCTAGCCCTACATAGTTTACGTATACGTCTTTGACCGTGCTTTAACTGTCTATTTAGTGTTGTTGGTTAACTAACCATAGAAGCAGAAGTGTCTTCAGGTTGCCAATCGGGATTTCCGTGTCTACGGATGTCCATTTGCGCAAAACTGCATACATCACCGACGCCCACAACCGATACAGTGAAATTTCTGAAGAAATCCACTAGATCCAAAGATCGTGGATAAACGTATCTCAGTAAAAAATAAGGTGTTAGGAGAGGCGACAGAAATTCCTCCAACAAAGCTGCAAATCTAAAAATGGCAAATCATTCAATTTATGATAACGTTTCCTGTCAAATCGAATGTTGATGTCTCCATTACAAACACAGGGTATCCAAATATTCCGTGGACATAGAACTACTACGTATTTTTGAGATCAAAGTAAGTTCATTGGGCGCAATTTACCTCTATACAAAAGTGCTTCGTTTGTCCGTTAGAGGGCGTCAAACTTCAAAAAAATAAAGACTTTTTTTAAGATATTTTAAGAACCGTTATTCCGATTTGAATGAAATTTTGGGTGTCCATGTTGTGCACGTTTAACATTTGACTTTCACAAAAATCAAGAAAAAGTACGGGAATTGTGAAAACTGCCCCCACCCCTACATAAATTTTAGTAGAAACATTTTCCAACTCCGCCACCGACTGATTTGGTTTTCCTAACGTGGCCCATTTAGTATTTGCTACATTTTGTCGTAAAAAAATTAGCACTGTTAATAAAAAGTTGGTACTCAGTTCTTTTAGTTTCATAGTAAAGGAACTTTTTCAATTTTTTATCTCAAAAACTTTGACTGATTTTGATGTTATTACAAATTTTGTTGCAAATATTATTCTTAATCTTAAATTGAAAACCGCGTTTCGCTAACTACTGTAATTTTGGAGATACAATTTTTTAAAATTTTTAACCCCCTCCCATACCAACCCCCCACCCCCACCAAAAACTAATAGCCAGATTCTCGAGTGCCACAGTATTTTTGAGCCAAATTTGGTTAAAATCGGTATAGTGGTTTTTGAGTTATCGTGTTACAGACGGACAGACAGACAGACACCATGAAAATAATTTGTATTTAGGTCATTTATGACCCAAATAACTCATTTTGAGTGAAATTAAATCTTCGATCTTAATAGAAAAAAGTTTTTCAGAGGCTGTAGGCGCATAAAATTTAATATGCACTAATCTAGTTGGCGAAAATATGGAATGTTATGTTAGTATCACAATGTAACTCTAACGGACAAACGATTTTTTAAAATTTTTAACCCCCTCCCATACCAACCCCCCACCCCCACCAAAAACTAATAGCTAGATTCTCGGGTGCCACAGTATTTTTGAGCCAAATTTGGTTAAAATCGGTTTAGTGGTTTTTGAGTTATCGTGTTACAGACGGACAGACAGACAGACACCATGAAAATATTTTGTATTTAGGTCATTTGTGACCCAAATAACTCATTTTGGGTGAAATTAAATCTTCGATCTTAATAGAAAAAAGGTTTTCAGATGCTGTAGGCGCATAAAATTTAATATGCACTAATCTAGTTGGCGAAAATATGGAATTATGTTAGTATCACAAATGATATTTGAGAATAAGCTTCATAAATTTTAAATTAATTAAAGATGCCCTATAACGGACAAACGAAGCATTTTTTGTTTAGAGGTAAATTGTGGCCAAGTTTACCTTATTTTGGTTCAGAAAATACGCAGTTGTTCTATGTCCACGGAATATTGCAACTCCCTACAGTATATTTTGCTGGCATGTTTTGAAACAACAAATTCTCAAAATTAAAAAAAAAATATTCTTGTACCTGTACTGGAACAACTGCTGAAAGCGCGTTTTAACTGGTATAGTATGAGCAATTCCCTGCCAATCGCCTGTAAAATAGTGAGTATGCAGTACCACGGCTTGCAATAAGGACTCTGGACACAAAAATAGAGTGTCATCGGGCACAACAGAACGACAAACGGTAATAATCGCTGTCAAAATGGCCAATATCGTCAATACCTATAAACAAAAATTGTTTTTTTTCTTCTAATTATAACCCACAATTTTGTAAAGATTCCAGGAATATGGAAGTGTACTTCAGAGTTAAATAAAACAAAGAAAAAGTTTAACATCCATAGTCCACAAATATTTACAAAACTGTGGGTAAATATACGTTTGGCGCCCAACGTGGGGCGCGATAGAAAAAATAATTTCCGTCTCTCTCACACTATTTTTCAAAATAAACTACTTTGGAATTAAAATGACAGGCTATAATAAACCCCAAAATTAGCTTCAAAATTACCTGATCCCAATACAAAATCTCGTTATCCAAGAATCCCAAGGTCACTAATATTGCCAAGAGGGAACTGCATATAAACGCCATGTGTTGTGCTATAACAACCATCAAAGGACTGTTAAATGAATCTAAATATTTTGTTGCCGGCTTATATGCCCTTGTGAGCCTCGAATGCAGTTCGTGATCCAGCTCATTGAAATGTCTACAAAAATTTTAAAATTCAGTCAAAATAATAGTGTAGCTAAATAAGTAGCAATCAACAACGATTGAGGTAGTTGGTTTTGATTTTGTTCGTTTTGGTTGGCAATAGACTGTTCTGACTAGCTTCAAAACAAAAGTTTACTTACTAGTGAAAAGTTATTCCATTACTTCCCTCGATTTTTGACCGAGATCTACCGCACGCTACAAAATATAAAATTTTCTACCTACCCAACCCTGCTGATTGCCAACTATTTCAACCATCGTTGACCGCTCTGTATTATTAGTACCTTAAATAGAGCCTGCCAAACTGCGACCAATACCTAACCCCAAATTTACCAGGCTCTCGCCGAATTAAATCGAAATAACTGAAAAAGTAGAAGATTATTTGTCCGACGAAGATCAAAGGGGATGCCAGAACATTCACTAGAAACAACCACAGCACGTGATGGCCCAGCTTGGTTGCTAATTTTTCCCTCTGTCCCGCTCTCTTATATTCTTCTTTTAAGTGCCACGGATTTTCGAACAAGGACCAGGGAGACCAAAATAACAAAAACATTATATTTATTCTGAAAAAAGTTAAATAAATTATCATTACAGTTGAGGGTTGGAACCTTTGGTGTTCACAGCAAAATAAAAACACTAAATCACCACAATACACCAAAACACTTTTACTTTTACACTGGACGCGCGTTTCGCTAACCATGTTAGCATATGAAATTTCTTGTAAAGATTGTAATCAGAAATATGTTGGGCAAACTAGAAGATCAATATTAACTAGATTTAAAGAACATTTAGCTCAGATAAGATATGGTAGACCGGATAAATCTTGCGTTGCCGAACATATTGTTGATAAAGAACATTGTATAGATCTTAATAATTTAAAATTAATTAAACAAGTCTCAAATTACAGGCAATTAGATGCATATGAAAGCATCAGAATTAATAAATGTAAAGATAGTATGAACAGAGTCAACGGTCCAATTCCTTCAAGTTCTTTGTTCCTACTACTCTAGTGGCGGAAATCTAACTGTTACGCTCAGTTGGCTCTGACTCGGTTGGCTAGATTTTGCCACGCCCACTCGGTGCCCACTGAGCGAATATATAAACGCTCAACTTGTAGATTGTACTTTAGTTTATAATCATCTGCTGATGATGCTAACATGGTTAGAGAAACGCGCGTCCAGTGTAAAAGTAAAAGTGTTTTGATGTATTGTGGAAATTATCATTAATCCTGTGAATACAAATACACTCACCGGCACGAAAAACGGGCACCTTATAATATTGATGTATTTTAAAGTTTAATATATTTTGCTCTAGTGAGCCTATTTTGATGATCTTTTAAGCAATGTGTAGCTAAATTATTTAACTTTTTAGTGTCTCTTTCTAAATTAAAAACGAAAAACTATACGAAGGCAAACAAAATAAAAAGAACATACATAACAAATGTTGATATTGTTACGTTTTTCGTCGGTTCCGTTGGATAGAAAGTCTAATTTATTTAAACACAATTTATTTTAGACTAAGTAACAAAACAATAACGATAAAACTACTTAAAAAACTATTTACAACTTATTTACTATTTATCTAAAAGGAATTTATTTTGAATTTAGCGCGTTAACTGTACACGTCGACCGATTGTGTCTGTCCCTTCCTTTGCACAGGCCTCGGGTTATATACCCACTCTTCTAAACAGTTCTCGAATAGTCCATTAGATCACTAGGTGCATAGAGAAGGTTTAGAATGTTCTCGTATTGTCACCCTAGAATAAGATTGTTCTATAGACCATTTCGATGAAACTGAGAAAACAAGGTTTAAAGTTTAAACTGGATATCCGCGAACACTATATACCAAAATGGTTCTATTAAACATATAAATTAAAGATAATATAAAAACCTATCAAACATATGTATTTATTTTACTTTTAGAAGCTTTATTTAAAAGATATCAGTGATTTTAGATTTGGATGTAGAACAAATGTGTCTATTAGCTGTGCAATGAGCCGATTTTAGGGATATAGAACAAAATAAGGGGATATAGAATAATATAATACTCATTTTAAGCTGATTTACTTGTATTTCAAAATATTATTTCAACACAAAATATCTGAAGTGGAGACATTAAGACATTAACTAAAAACAACATAAAAAAATAATAACCTAAAATACAATAGTAGTAATTATTCTAATTTAAGCATTGTTTATTAAAAACCATCATTTTTCCGCCTATTTGTTTGGTATATAGTGATGATAGAATAAGTTATTCAGATTTTAAATCTGATTTTTAATTTTCATTGGATTATTTAAATGTTTTTTCAGCTATCTCTCGTATTGATAGTATTAGAGAACGATTGAGCAGTCAACTGAGTTGAAGCAGATGGTTTCACAAAATTCCAAAGTGTGAAACATTCGAATTTGCTAACAAATCAGGCAATCAGTGATTTTCAAACGAACGATTAATCAGTCAATTGCGTTGAAGCAGTTGGTTTCACGAAATTGCAAACTGTGAAACATTCGAATTTGATAACAAATCAGGCAATCAGTGCTTTTCAAACGAACCGATTTACCGCCTATTTGACAAACGAACGTTTAGTGGTGCAATTTCACCCGCTTAAAACAAAAACCTTAAATTTAAATAAAAACAGATACATCCATTGTATGTTAGCGAGAAAGAGATTGAGAATAAATGGATATAGAACAATCTAATTTTTATGCATAGTAACATATTTTTTGATCTGGTATTTTCGTTCCATACCCACTTCTTAGGATAAAGAAAACAATAATTCTATTTTTTTTTACTGTAGCCTTAAATAGTGATTTTTGGATGTAGGCCATTATATGGTTTCGCGACTTTCAAATTAATATGGATATAGTACAAAATATCAGATTTTTTTTCTTTATTTGTGAATTTGGCTATATTGTTATTGTGGAAATAGAACAAGCTAATTCTGCATTAAAAAATGGTGTATGTAACTCATTTTACCCCAAAAGCGGATATAGAACAACCTAATTCTAGGGTGACGGTATGTAAGCCTCCATTCCAGTGGAACTCGATTGTTCTCGAACGTTCGATGGATCATTACGGTGTCCCTTCTTTAATGCTAGGTCATATGGGGGCGGGACATATTAGTTAGGTTAGGCCGAATCCACACGGGTCCGCAAAAATATTTTCGTGAAAATTTGAAAGACCCTGTGGAATATGTTAACAAAGCAAGGAATTTAAAAATAATTTTATCGTTTAGGTACGTCTTTTTCCGATAGTTTGTTTTTTGATTCATCTCAATATCTTTATTTTTATTGAAGATATTCGCTCTTGAATAAGATCTCATTAACGATTAGCATTGATTTTGGGTCCCCGTCAACGTATCTGTCTTATAAAATAGTGTTTTTATTGTTTTTGTAATATCACTGTCATTGAAATGTCATATTATTATTGTTCATTGACGTTTACTCTAGTAGAGATGGTTTTAAGTTCTGAAGCGGGGTCTCCACATGCAAGGATTACTGGCGCCAGTTTTATTGTATGTGGAAACCTGTAAAATCGACTGGCGCAAGTTTAGCGGCGCCACTAATTCATGTGCCAGTAAAGTTAAACGCTCCTGTACTTTTTGGCGCCAGTTTTATGAGTAAACAGCTGTATAGTAACAATACAGCGAGCATCTTCAGTCGTAAAAATGTCGTTTGTTTTAAAAAAGTGGTCTACTGAATTAATAATAAAGTTCTTGGAAGCCTACGAACAACATCCTTGCTTATGGAACAATAAAATAAGTGATTATAAGGACCGAAATAAAAGGGAGGAAGCCTCAAGAAGAATTGTTGGTGTCATGTCTGATTCTCTCAGCAACGTTGATGTAAATTCCGCAAAGGCCAAAATTCAAAGTATTAGCAATGCTTACACCCTAGAGCATAACAAGGTGTTAAAATCTCACAAAACTGAATGTAATGACATGGCAGTTTTAAATTCATATAGACCTGTGGAAACGAGTAATGGCGCCATTTAATTGTGGCGCCAATAAACTGGCGAACACTGGCGCCAGTAATCCTTGCCTGTAGAAACCCCGCTTAAAGTATTGGCTATTGCTGCTTTAATTGATCATGGTAAAACCATATCTACTAGAGTAACTGCCCTACAGATAATAATAATATTATTTTTCAAAGACAATGACATTACATAAATCATAAACACTATTTTATAGGTCTCTTGACTAGAACCAAAACCAAAGGCATGCCTTTAATGTAAAAAATTCTTTAAAATGTTAGTGTCTTCTTCAAAAGCGAATATCTCCAAAAAAATAAAGCTATTCGGATGAATCAAAAAACAAACCATCGAAAAAAGATACACCTAGATGACAAAATTATTTTTAAATTCCTTGCTTTGTAACTTTCACCAAAATATCAACGTTTTGTTTTTCCTCGTATAATTGACAAATGACAACTTTCATTTTTAATTTAGAAAGAGATATTAAAAAGTCAAATAATTTAGCTACAAACTGCTTAAAAATTCATCAAAATCGGTCCACTCGAACACAATATATAAAACTTTAAAATACATGAAAATTTTAAGGTGGTCGTTTTAAACGGTGAGTGTATATTAAATTATTTGTCCTCGCAAAAATTATCAAATCGATTTTCATTTCCCAGCCTTCCTTGACGCTGTTTTTTTCGATCGTATGGTAGTTCTAAACATTAATAAACTACTTACCTGACACCCTTGGTCCAGTAAACAATTTCTCCTAAGAATGGAAAGTCTTCTCTGGGTGGCAACAATTTCTTATTAACTAACGCGACTAAATAGTTGGTCTGTCTGAGTATTCTATGGTATATATCTAATTCCGTTAGTTCCCTTTTGTGAATGCACATTTGCAATTCTAGTTGTGCCTGTATTGAGATTAATATAAAAATAACTTGTTTTATTTATCTAAAGACTGTTCAACCATCGTTCACCGTTACGTCATCATTATTTGTCAAATATGAGTTTTAGGGTGTGTCTGAGATCGGTTCATATTGTTTAGAAAATTTTAAGTACGTTCCTATATTAGTGATTGAGCTAGTTTCGTTTTTTTTTTCGGCATTTATTTATTTTTTCTTAAACTCTTCATCAGTTACGATCCCTTTAATTCCAATCCTTTGGACTGTTGAAATTCCTATTTCTAAAGCATCAACAACTCGCTATATTATTTAAAAACGCTATCGATTTGTATTTTACATAGGACTATTACAACTTTGCATTGTACTTACTTCATATAAGGCGTCCACGAGCAAGAGTGTTCTACAAGCGTCTCTTTATCGAGAAAAATAATTTATAAGCTTAGCAATGAGCTCTTGTTCATTTTGGTTAAATCTTTGAGGTATTTTTGCAAAAAAAAATCAATTTTGTTTTACATCAATAATCAAATTTTGACTTTGATAGATATCCGTCAATAAAATTATAACCCCAAATCAAATAACAATGACAATTACTAAAAAGAATATGTAGTAATTTACGAAATGCCGTAATGACGTCACCAATCTCTTTCATCTGGTTGTCAAGTGATTGAGAGAGTTCGACAATATACGACGTGACGACGTGGCGTGACGGTGATCAATAGCCGAACATTCTATATGTGTGAAGCTTACCTGCTTAAGTTTAGCTTGTACGTCGTGCCACGTCATATTATCCAGCTCGTCGTCGCTAATGTGTAAAGCTTGATTATAAAATTGTTTGATGTCCCAATACGTTATAATAGCGTATAATTTTCTAACACAACTCAAAAGAAATAGTAAACTTAAAAACAGGAGCAGCAGCCAACCAATTAGAGGCATATTTGTCATAACCTGAAAAATTTATCACTTTGTAGATGTTTTTTATGTTATGTTTAATAAATAGTATTACACAATAACACTTGCTACTGTTATGCTACATAATATGTTAAAAAATTCAGAATATATCGCAAGCTGAAGTCTATTGTAAAATCTATCAGAACATTTTAAATACTCAAAATTTATAAATTTATTTTTGAACACCCTATAGTATCTAACTTAATATCTTTACATAAATCTTTTTCTTCATCTCTATAACACTTCTCCTACCAAATTTCAATACTCTAACTTCAGAAGCAATAGAGCCACTGACAATCACAAACAGATTTCAGTCTAACATTTTTTTTAAATAAATGGAAATATTACAAAAACTACTAGTTTTAGGTATAACTTTATATAGAAAAAATTGGTCAATGCTCAAGAGTTAACTTCACGTTGGGCGCGAAACGTATAAATAAATAATAGCCTCACGTTGGGCGCCAAATGTGTAAAAAATGAACCCACGTTGGGCGCAAAATGTATAAAAAAATTGGTCAAGTGCGAGTCGGACTCGCGCACGAAGGGTTCCGTACCATTCATTATCTATACGACATTAGACCCTATATTATTATAAACTTTTTTTTCCGATTTAGCTGAAATTTTGAATGCGCGTATAAGTAATTTAAAAAAAATGAAAAAACACATTACTAAAAATTGTATTAATCAATAATAAATATGAAAAAAGTAAAAGTAAATATGTAAAAATATGTAAAAATTTAAAAAAAAAACGATTAAAAAAAAGTCACCTTGACTAGGATTCGAACCTGCCTTACTACGGCTCCAACGTCATAGCAGCGTAAAGTCCTAACGCTTGAAACCACGCGGCCGCCGAGGACTTGAAAGATTCAATGTAAAATTCTTACTTAAAAGATAATGTTTAGTGGAAGTACTTTTTTATTTATAAACATTTATTTAATTCTGTTTTTAGTGTTTGTTCTTATAGCGGCAACACAGATACATTATCTGTAAAAATTTCAACTGTCTAGCTATAACGGTTCATAAGATAGACCTTTGTGACAGACGGACGGATGGACAGCGAAGTCTTAGTAATAGGGTTCCCGTTTTTACCCTTTGGGTATGGAACCCTAAAAAAGATATAGAAATTTACACAAAATTAAAAAATAAAATAAAAACCAGGGTGTGCCATTTAAAAAATTTGAGATTATTTCATTTTAAAATACACATACATTTACACACACACATTTACTTATGAAGCAAATCAGACTCCATAGAGATTTCACTGTTTTGATAGCTGACTACCGAGTTGGATAGCTATAGTATTAAGTTTATATTGAATATTTTCTTATGGTACATTTAAAAAAAACTAGTTAATAGAACTCATTACCTCATGAAAAGGAAGAAGAACATCAAAAATCGTTTGATGCTTCTGTGATGGATTGGTGTTAAATAATTTCCCATAATCGACAGCGTATAATAAAGACAGAGTCAAACCACAAACGAAAACGAACTTGTGCAACTTTACTATTTCCTAAAAATCAAAATTCCAACATTTCTCTCCGTAGTTCTCCGTAGTTCCGATAAAAATTAACAGATATTTTTTGACTTACCGTAACGGTAAGACACCAAAATCCATGCTTTTGATGGTATTTGTAGACCCTGATAAAAAATGAATCCAGGTTATCAATATGATTCCAGCGAGATCTCGTAGGCTCAGAGACATGGTGATGAGGGATAGCTTGCTCTTCTGGGTCTGGATATTCGTGTAGTGATGCGTAATTGTGCATAGTAGATAATGTTAAGCTACAAGAATAGGTACTATATTCAATATTTACATAAAAATACAAACAATTTACTTAGATTATTGATAGAGAAATTCAATACTTTACATTTTTAAGCCTATCTATACAAAACAGTATGTTAAATAAAAATTTTAAATAATAACAATTATAATGTAACGGTACAGACAATGCTTATTAATTAAATGGTTATTAAACTAAACCATTTTGATAAAAATTATAATCAAAACAAAAACAGCTGATAAATGACAGGCATTAAATAAATGTTATGAAAACAAATACGTTTTTTACTCACCTCTAAGGGATGCATAAAACAGCATTATAAATAATATCTCCCAGTGAATTTGTAGCAAAATAGAGTAGGACAAAAATAGATCGAATATAATATGCGAAAAATTTTGGATAAAGATAACAAAGAAAATGTCACTAAAGGTTAAGTAAATTCCATTCCACTTCCCAACTTGATGATTTAGATCGTATTTCTTAAAAATTAAAAGTGCATTCTTGCTGAAATTGTTCTAATATATGAAATGCATCGTTGATTATTAATTTTATAAAAATGTAAAACGAAAAACGTAGATCGTAGTTTTGTAATGGTTAGATGACATTCAAATTTATTGACATTTGACATTTAAGAACTTCTTTAAATTCTTCATGGCTCATCATCACCAAACTCCTTAAGAAAATTTTAAACATATACACATTATATATGATCTTTGTTTATTAGCTCTACGCCTGACGCCTGACCGATTTTTAATGTCTGTGCCTGTCAAATAAAGTCAACAAAAACACGTCATAACATTTAAGTCAGATGTCAGAAAAGTGTTATTTTTGGTTAGAAAACGAATATAATACGAAATGCCACGTATTTTTTAAATAATATTTGTAAAAAATGGGAAATTCGGAAAGTGTAGAGATTCCCGGAGGAGGCTCAGACGGATTTCACGTCCTTCGAGTATGAAACAACTTAATAAATTGTACCAGTCATTTGTTAACTTTTATGTTTTAGGTTCAGGAAAACTCTCCGGGTGCTAAAGCAGGTTTAATACCTTTTTTTGATTTCATCATTTCAATAAACGGAGTTCGACTAAATAAAGATGATGGAACGCTGAAAAATATCTTAAAAAATGGTGTTGGTGAGTATTATTCCAAATTAACTTGCCGTAAAATATATTAAAACGATGTTTTAAGGAAAATCATTGCCTGTTACAATATATAGTTGTAAAACGCAGAACGTACGGAGCGTTACAGTGGAACCAAGTGACTCCTGGGGTGGTCAGGGACTTTTAGGGATCAGTATTCGATTTTGCTCATTTGAAATAGCTAAAGATAACGTTTGGCACATATTAGAAGTCCACCCAAATTCACCTGCTGATTTAGCAGGTTTGTATTTGAATTTTTATTGTGTACGGTATGTCTCATTGTCTTGTGTTTCTTGGGGTTTCTTGTTTATGAGTAGAGGTACAAAGATGCAGTTTTTACATTACTATGTTACTTTTTCCTGAAACTAAAGATGGTATACAGATAAACGAAACACCCTATAAAACTCAAGAATATAGGACCTGTACTTAAGTATGTATTGTTCATATTTTGTATTTTAGGATTAAAGGCTTTTTCGGATTATATAATCGGTTCTGAGTCTATACTACAACACAGTGATGACATATATAGCTTAATAGAAAGTCACAATGGGAGAAGCCTAAAATTGTTTGTTTATAATTATGACGATGATGCATGTAGGGAAGTAACAATTACACCCAATTCTAGATGGGGAGGGGAAGGCTTAGTAGGTTAGTACATATTACACATTATTTACATACAAAAACTAGCGAGAGAATACAAGGAATAACATCAGAAACCAAATTGTTACCTCATACGAATAAAATGCATTATTCATAAAGTACTCTTTGTATGTCCTTCTATTCTTTAGTCACTGTATATGTTACAGTAAAAGTTGGAAGTCAGTGATTGCTAACAATTACTAGTAAAAGCTCATATTCACTGATTTGCTAAGACTACACCAGTATAAGTTTAACAGCTATTTTTGAAACCAACTTTTACTAGTGAATGCTAGCATTCCCTGGACGATAGCAATGAGTTTGAAAGATTCAGTTAGCGCGGTTGGACATTTAAAATATAAGGATAAACAAGGATAAGTTGAATAATAGGCAATATAAAGATAACATTGAGATTGAAAGACATCTGGCCATCTGGCGTAAATTCACTTTGTTTTTTGTGGTTATGTATAATTGTTTTTTTATTGTTCTAAAAAGTGCTGTGTGGTATTTTCCCTATGAAAGAAATTTTCTGTGAAAAATTAAGGTAAACTAGGCACTCACAAGCATGTAATAGTGCTGGTTTTTCATGTTTGCAATATAATGAAGTCATAGCAAAAGCTAAGCATGCAAGAGAAAAAGAATCTAGTGACTATGAAGTTATTAAACGTTTTGGTATGCTTGAAGTAGCGGCTTTGAAAGAACTAATAAACTCCCGTTGAAGAAAATTCGGGCACACTTTATTTTGTCCATGATGGAGAACTTTATTAAAAAACCTTGTACCCATAAGTAATCTTAAGTTTAAGAATGTTTTTTTTAATCGTTTTGTACAGTTTAAAATGTTTACTTTGTTTTCTCTTTTAATATTTAGAACGTTGTGTCGTTATTTTCTATAGTTTTTTAATAAATATACTAAGAAAAGAAGTAAATTGTAGTTTTAAGATAATATGTGGATCAGCTTGAATATTGAAGTGATCCAATATTCTTAAAAGTTTTATTTGTTCTAACTTCCATCAACATTCTTCCTCACCACACTCGCCCTGTACAATAGAATAACTTTTACTGGCAACCTTTAGTAAATGTTACTTTCACTAGTGAATGTTTAATTACTAGGGAAACTGGGAAAGTTGACAAAACTCTTTAATGTTAATAATCACTGAATTTCGGACTTTCACTGTAACATATACATAGTTATAAATTAATAACAACTACTGTTTCTCTTTAGGTTGTGGAATAGGTTATGGTTATTTGCATAGAATACCTGTTCGTGCACATCCTGATCAAATTGCACCAACTTATGTGTCTCAACCAAACACTTCCGTTCCACTATTCAACAGTACATTGACAAACACTGGCACTAATACTGCAAGTTTTAATATAAGTCCAACAAAAGCAAGTGAATCCAGTAATGTAATATTATCATCAGAAAAACCAGGAAATTCTTTGACTGAAAGCAGTACAATGGACAAAAATATAGAGAATATCATACAGGATACACAGAAACTGAATATTATTCCTTCAACCGCTGGGCAATCACCAGTTTTAAGTTCTCAGAATATTAATTCGTTTTTACCTAACCTTCAACAACCTTCTGTAACTTCAAATATCCCTCCCCCAGTGAGTTTGCCAGAGTTTAATACAACCATTAGTAATTTTCAAACATCTTCTTTGCCTAATTCTAATTCGATACATATCCCACCACCTTCGAGCGTACCTCAAGTAGTACCGACACTTCCACAAGTCTCCATGTATAATCCTGCAAATTATCCAAAAATGCCGTCGAACCCTTCGAGTTTTAGTTATTCTGAAGCAACAGTACCACCACCTTTGACCGTACCTCAAGTACCGGCAACACCACAAGTACCGATGTATAATCCTTCAAATTACCCCAAACTGCCTTCAAATCCTTCGAGTTTTACTTATTCTGAGGCTGTAGTACCACAACCTGTTCTGAGTCATCAAGTTTCGTACCCGCAAGCTGGTTTAATTAATGTAAATTACCCGCAAGTCAGTGTGCCTGGTGTGACGACTCCGAATTTACAAACTCATACGTCTCAGCTGATTTATGATCCAACAATAGCTGCGAGATCGGCTCAGCAGTTACTGAATAGGAACGCGGACAGTTTTGGAAATGTGTCCCAGAATACTTAGTTTTAGTTGTTTTATTGTTTTTGTTTTATAGGTTTAATAAATTAAAATGTAATAAGATATAAAGAAAAATAAAGTTTTATGATTATCTAATCTATACTAATATATAAAATCCTTAAGTGACTGACTCACTGATTAATCACGATCCTGCTCAAACCACTCAACGTAAGAAGCTCAATTTTGGCATACAGGTTGATTCTAAGGTGTAGAGATCCGATAAGAAGGGATTTTTCGAAATTCCAGTTCCAAGGGGGTGAAACCACCCCTCAAATATTACAATATTTTTTATTTAAAAAACGGTCAAGTTTCCGAAAAAACGCTTAAACACGTGTATTTTATTTTGTTTTTTTACATATTTTAAGATTTTTTAAAAATGTATACAGGGTGTTTTGTACAAATCTGGTCATTGATTAATCACGATACTGCTTAAACCGCTTGACGTAAAAAGCTGATTTTTGGAAAACAGGTTGACTTTGGGGTGTAGAGGTTCGATAAGAAGGGATTTTTGGAAACTCGAATTCTAAGGGGGTGAAACCACCCCTCAAATATTAGAATATTTTTTATTTAAAAACCGGTGAGTTTTTCGGAAAAACTCTTAAACACGTATATTTTATTTTGTTGTTTTACATATTTTAAGATTTTTTAAAAATTTATACAGGGTGTTTCGTAAAATATGACCATTGAGTAATCACGATTCTGCTGAAACTGCTTGACGTTTAAAGCTGATTTTTGGCAAACGCATTGACTGTGGGGTGATAAGGAGGGGTTTCTCGAATCTCAAATTCCAAGAGGGTGAAAACGCCCCTCAAATATTACAATATTTGTTATTTAAAAAACGGTTAGTCTTTCGGGAAAACGCTTGGACACGCTTAATTGATTTTGTTTTTTTACATATTTTGAAATCTTTTAAAAAATAATACAGGGTGTTCCAAAAAGTTGGGTAACTGATTAACCACGATTCTGCTTAAACTGCTTGGCGTAAAAAGCTTATTTTTGGCAAACGGATTTTTCGAAAGTCAAATTCCAACGAGATGAAACTACCCCTCAAATATTACCAAGTTATATAGTAATATCGCCATATTGTTTTTTCTCATGCTAACATAAATTGGAGAAAATCCTATCCAGTTTGTATGTTAATGGAAATTCTTGCTTTGCTTTGTCATCACCATTACAAATGATTAATTCGACGCGAACGAAGAACGCGGGTATACGCTATAGCCTTTAATAAAATTTTAAAATGACACAGAGAGTTTATCTATATTCAAGTTAATTTATGTTAGAAATTATGAAAACTTATATAGGTTCTGAACGTATACCGGGTGCGTTTCAAAAGTGGCTCACTCCTATAACTTTTTTATTTTTTCAGTTAGTATATGACATAAATTAGGATTGATTGACGTATTAAATTGTTTTCGGTTACTTCTCCTGTTTCAACGGAAATGACTACAACTTGTGATTTTTAAACGGCATTCTTGGTGTTTTTTTACTTTGATAGAAAATGACATTCTGGATAGAATGACATATCGTATGTCAACTTTTGACATTCTTGCTTAAAAAAATTGTATTTTAAATTTCAGTCTAAAGTGGCTGTGTTAAAAACTCTAATTTTTAATGAAGGAGCTTTGGAAAAATAGATTTGATCGTCTAATGTTTTTAGTGTCTTGTCCTGGCCGGTTAGAAGATGCCCAAAACCTATTTTTGCATTGCATTTTTTTACGAATAATTTGATACCACACACTTGGTATTTCGAGTCAAATTGTCGTTATGAACTGCATGTTATATCAAATAAACCATATGCGAAAATGTTAAAAGTTGATACATGATATTTCATTATATTCAGAGTGTTATTTTCTATCGTATAAAGTAAAAAAATACCGATGTTGCCATTTAAAAATCAAAAGTTGTAGTCATTTCCGGTAAAACAGGAAGGGACCGAAAACAATTGAATACCAATCCTAATTTATATAATATACTAACATACGAAACCTCGTTTTTTTAACTGAAAAAATAAAAAAGTTATAGGGGTGAGTCACTTTCGAGACACACCCGGTATAATTTGTCCAACCATGGAGGATCTATAACAATGACAGTTGGTATCTGTCATTTTTTCGGTGTCATCTGTTGAAATCTTCCCTGACTCATTTGACAGACTTTACCAAAGAATATTGTACTGGTACTATAGTAGAATATTTCTTTTGGTATATCTGAAAATTATTATTATTTGTTTATTTGTATTATCTGGTGCACTTACTCAGAGGCGGCTCGTCAATAAAAACTATGGCGAAATAAACCATAAACAAATTATGTGATTTAAAAAATATATTATTTTTATAAAACAAAACTATATAAATTAGTAAAAGTCCAAAACTTTCGTGTCTTTAGGCAAAGAGAAAATGTATTTCTTTTATCGAGATCTACCAGCCCTGAAAATATTTGCACCTATTTAAGGATTACCCTGTATATGTATTTTATAAATAATTTCCCAATTTTTGGTAATATTAGGGCACCTATTCTTATACTTCACGAACCACCACTGACATCAACACTTCTATCCACAAATACGAATATTTAATTTTTAAAAAACAAAATATTTAATTTTAAATATATTGTTTTTTTCTATGGAACAAAATAAATACAGATATACAGGGTGTCAAAAAAATAGAACATCTTACTTTGGTTTTTCTTATTTACTAATAAATGTTTTTTTTATTTTCGTAAAATATACATACATATATCACTTAATATATAATTCTATGAGAAGAACCGTGTATGAAAGACCTTACCTACCGTCATGCATACTGGAAGTTTTACTGTAGTTTTTATAGTTTTTGAAGTTCTTAACTTAAAACTACAAAAACTGCAATTTAAATAAATATAAATAGTCTCTAAAATGATCTTTCAACGCTTACTGCGACGTTCGTAACCAAAAATTATGAAATTACAAAATTTACAAAAGTGTTTTAAAAATTTAAAAATCTACGTCCCATCCTGATGTTTCATCTGGAGGATAGTCCTTGTCCGGCTTGAATTCATCGAAGTTGGATGCATCCAGGGCACTTTTGATTTTTGGTTTAATAGGTGCAGGTATCTGGCGCTGGATAAACCTGTCCCAGTCGAAGTCTAAAAAATTTAAATTTAAAAGAAGAGAGTTTTTTTTTAAATTTCAATTCAATGCAATATGAAAAACAACCATTTTTTTTAATTTAAAATGTTAAATTTTTAACGGTTTCGCAGATATTCGCGGTATTATACAGCCAAAAGCTCATAAGATAGCTGTGATAAAAATTTACTGTTGAAAGAGCTAGTTATAAATAGTCAAAAAACGTAGTTATAAAAGTTATAAACCGTGCAACATTTATATAAAAAAATTTGTCAGATCTTTGTCAACAACGACGATATTGGACTTCCTCGCACTGAATGCCTCGTCATCCCGTATGAAGTTACCTTACCTTGGTACCATTTATGTGCTTTAATATCTCTGGGACCACCCCTCTGCATACCAAGTCTTTCAACAGGTGCCGGCCTACATAGTTTCTCTATCAAGTTTTTCGGTTTGGGGTTCACATAACTAGGAAAGTTAATGATTCCATTTAATATTTTGTTGTACGTTCTCATGTAGCTAGTGTCTCCAGTTTTGAAAGGTGTTCTTCCTAAAAAAAGGTTAAGCTACTATTTATAGTTATATAGGGTCGACAAAGTGTGGATTTAGGTGCTGATTTTAGTGTGTACGAAAAGCACAGTGAATAAGCTCAGTGCAGTAAGATGTACTGAACAAAGAAAGAAAGAACAAAGGAAGAATGATGATGACTTGACCACAAATGTACTATAGATATTCCTAATTAACGAAAAGAATGTTGTAACTAACCTAGAGAGACTCTCAATATAATAACACGTGAAACATCGAAATATAAACTCAAATATTGGTAGACTGGAAGACAGAGCAAAAATATTTAACTTAGAAATTAAGAAGAAAAAAATGCAAAAAGGAAGCTGTAAAATTTAAAACTATTTTTATTAATTTTACATATATTTAATATTTGACTAGAAATGAACCACAGAAATTCCTAATTAACAAAAAGAATGCTGTAACTAGCCTAAAGATTGTTTCCAAACCAAATGCGTATCCCTTCCCATTAAATTATGCTGAATTATGAAAATTTCTGAGACTCAAAAAAATACAAACATGTGAAACCTCGAAATATAAACTAAAATACTGGCAGACTAGAGAACAGAGCAAAAATAGTCTAATAAAAGTGCAAAAATACTTATGATAGAAATTAAGGAGAAAAAAAAATGCAAAAAAGAAGCTGTGAAATTTAAAAATATTTGTATTAATTTTATATATATTTAATATATGATCAGAAATGAACCACTAATTAACAAAAAGAATGCTGAAACTAGCCTAAAGATTTTATCCAAGCAAAATGCGTCCCATTAAATTATGCTGAATTATGAAAATTTCTGAGACTCAAAAAAAAATACAAACATGTGAAACGTCGAAATATAAACTAAAATACTGGCAGACTAGAGAACAAAGCAAAAATAGTCAAATAAAAGTGCAAAAATACTTATGATAGAAATTAAGAGGAAAAAAATGCAAAACGGAAATTTTAAAATTTAAAAATATTTGTATTAATTTTATATATATTCAATATTTGATCATAAATAAACCACAGATACTCCTGATTTACAAAATTAATGTTGTAAATTGCCCAAATAATTTTTCAAACAAAATGCGTCTCATATCCCATTTAATTATGCTTTGAAAATTTCAACGTTTACAAATTTACATAGACATACCTGTCAATAGTTCGTAGACTAATACTCCAAAAGCCCAATAGTCCACGCTTCTGTCATGACCTCTGTTCAAAACTATCTCAGGTGCAACATACTCTGGTGTGCCGGCAAAAGTGTAGGTTTTTCCCCTAGCTGGCATCAGTTTTGCGAATCCAAAATCAGTTAATTTTAAATATCCCAGATTATCTATAGTGAGATTTTCAGGTTTGAGGTCTCTGTATATGATTCCTTTACTGTAAGAAAATGAATAGTGTATATATCGTAGCTAGAGATTTCTTAATCTTAAGAACAAGTTTTATTTACCTATGTAGATACTCCAAGGCCTCTAGTACACATGCCGTGTAAAACTTGGCATCTTTTTCCTCAAATCGCTTGCCTTTTTGTTTATGAATGAGCGAAAATAAATCACCTCCAAGGCAAGCCTCCATCAAGAAGTAGACATATCTAAAATTCATATAAGAATATGTTTGTTTTATCATTTATAGTATATATACATAGTTTGTAGATGATAAGAGGAAACCGGGTGGAGAACTCAAAAGGTAAAAGGATATTTTCCACAAAAACTTAGAAGGGATAAGCATCAGTAGGAGGAAGTAGCACACAATAGAACGCAATGGAAAAGAATTGTAAACTCAGTTAACAGCGACAACCAAACAGTAAAGAGGCAACAAAGCAATGAGATTTTTGAATGTCCGGAGTGCGGTAGGCAGATAACATCACGTATCGGGCTTTTCAGTCACAGAAAAGTTCATGAAAGAAAACGCCTTGCGTGACCATCTTCTGATGCATGTCAAATACCCGTCAACGAGTAATGGCAGTAAATAAGTAAGTAAGGATAAAAGTTAAACATAGAAATAAGTGAACAAATATAACTAATCAAGCCATGAGTCTTTTAGGCTTTTAGAGCTATTTTTAAATATTTTGATATACTTACTTCGCATCCTTGAATGTTCTATACAGTCTGACAATAAATGGAGATTTACAATTCATCTGAATGATCTTTTCGTTCCTAACATGATCTACCTGTTGCAGCTTGACTATTTCGATTTTCTTCAGGTATTTCAGTGCAAACACCAAGTCCTTCTTTTTCTTGTGAGAAACCAACTCTACTCTGCCGAATCTAACAACAAAAAAAAAACAATTTTCAAGTCACTCAAGTCATAATTAATTGATTTTAATTATTTCCTCTAAAACAGTATTGAAATTTGGAAAAGTATAAACGGGAATAACCATTTAGAAGAAGCAAAACTTGTTATTAATAATTTTTATTGTTGTCGATCCAATAATATATAATGTGTTCTTTTTTTATAAATTGGATTAGGATCGAAAGAAATCAACAGAAGTCCTTTTTTTTTTTTTTTTTTTTTAATTTATCGACGTTTCATAAAATTTATTTGCATCTTCAGGACACTACAAAGTTAAGAGAGCAAAAATTACAATCAAATAAAAGTTTTTTTTTTTCAAAAAATTTAACAAACAACTTAAAATACATATCAGTGGAATTCCACACATATACAATTGGTAAAACTACCCTAATGTTAACAATTAAATAAAATATATGTATATGTTACTCACATTTAAATCTGGACTTTCTTAGTCATATCCATTAATACACGGATGGTATAGAAGGGAGTGGTATATATCCCTTTTTTTCCTTTTAAAACACATAACACACTTACATAAAAAAAAAACATATAACACAATTATGTATAGAGAAATATCACGAAAAACTTTTCCTTTCACAGACAAGCTGTTTCCTTTCACAGACAAATTTAAAAAAAAGGACTTCTGTTGATTTCTTTCGATCCTAATCCAATTTATAAAAAAAGAACACATTATACTTGTTATTAATAATGCATTTTTCTCAAAATGACAAATAATAAAGACATAGGTTCGTAGACATTCTGAAGTAATTACCCTCCTACTCCCAAAGTTTGTCTAAGTTTCAAGTCTGTCAGTACAATATCTTGATATTCAGCTTCAACCACAGCCTTAAAACTTGTTTTGCTGACTTCGATCTTCGGTATTTCTACGTCTCCGAAGTGGTTTATGAAGTCAGCTCTGGTCAAAGTGAGGCAATCTACTCCAGGAGCCTCTGCTGTTACTGTAGCTTGTCTAAAATATACAATAATAAGTGACAGCCATCTCTGACGCCGTTTTTTTCGATTATAATATGGTATTTTTATAACTCTGTAGAAAGGATATTGAACTTTTACATATTAGAATTGATTTAACGTTACCTCGTGTCCTCTTTTTGGAGTGCCATCTCTCCAAAACATTGTCCTTTTCCCAATTTGCCTAGAACACCTTCGCCAGTTTTTGATATAGTTACCGTACCTAAAAATCATTAAGTATTACATTAGTTCACTACAAAAATTAACCTTAAAAATGTTCAATTTTTAAGGTTTCACCTTAAAAATGTTTAATTTATTATTATTAAAACAATATGTATAATTATAGGCTTGGTGCATTTCAGTTGATTTTAAAAATTCCGACCGTAGCGCTCCATACGGCAGAAGTCAGAAGTTTTCGGCTCTGTATTTCACGCAGTTTCGATGTTGATCGCATTGAAATACAATTAAAATCGTGGCTTTGTCATAATATTTAAGTATTTTAATTTTTAGTAGTGCCAGTTATTGAAATTATCAAACCAGGTACGAGGTTTGTGTGATGTAATGCTGTTTCGGGTAGTAAAAAATAAGTAAAAAAACCGAAATATGCGTCGCTTTGTGTTGTATCAATTTCAAATGTAAAAAATTGTCGAAAAAATGGTAATACGTAAAGGAGGGCGTAATTACGTGGTTGTTGGGTACAATAATAACATTCAATAACTCAACTTTCCCAGATATTCAACTCTCCCGAAATAACATTTTATAGCTTCACAACTACTCACACCGATTTGATCAAAAATAAAAATGGATTCAAGCAGCTCGACAAAACAAGTGAGTAAACAAAGTGTTCGTTACATAATCAAAAAATTAAATAGACATCACAAATTATACAGATTATAATCTTTGTTTTTTCTTTTGTTATCGACGCCTATGATCCTTGCGAGGAGGCAGTCAACGTCACGCCGTCTCCGTGCCTGGCACCCCGTGCCGGCGAATGTTTGGGAGTAGCGGAGTAAAGAGTAGGCTGGGGAAAAAAGAATGGAATGTCGGAACTTGTTGGTTTTCGAGCGTCGGAATCGGTTGTTGTAAAAATCAGTTAGATTGGATTTAAAAATATAATAATTTCTGTTAAATACATTAAAATATCACAATTTCTATAAAATATATAATAATTTCGATTACTCAGAAGTGGCGATGAGTTTAATCCAGCGTTCTTAGGCCGTACAGGCGTATTTCTGACTTACTGACGACTATTGACTTGACTTTGACCTTTGACCATATCGTTTCGTAAATGCGTCGGTTTCAAGGATCTATTCGGTCGTCTCAGATACGGGTACCCGTTGCGTCGGATTTAGGATATCGTCTTCGGATCGGCGAAGCGCGAAAAGAAAACCGGAGGGATCATTCTGCTAGCTCTAGTGCTCGAAGGTAATAGCGAAAAAAATGCAGTGCTGGAAAGAATTAAGCGTCATATCACCCCTACAAGTTACAGACTCGGAAGATAACAGGAAAAGATAGTGAGCCAACACATTATCTGAACAAATCTCTTCTGAAAGGTATTTTAAAAATGGCTAGAAAAAAAAAATCGAGATAAATTCTAAGGTAATTACGAGATAAATTCTAAGATAGTATTTTTATACAGTAAAAATTGTTGTCATGGAGATAGATTTGAGTTTAAAGCTGGTTTAAAGTAATTTTTCGGATTTCGGTGATATGAATCGCCTCGTGGTTCAAGAGGTCTCGAAGAGAGGGCGCTACCGTAGTCGGTTGATAAGGGTCGATTTCGCTTGCGAAAGAAGATGGCTGCGAACCTCAGCATAAACAGACAGATTTTTAGGTAAAAAGTAAAATTTTATTGTTAAAATTAAAAGTTAAATAAATATCTATCTATGGTCCTCCTGAGGAATAAAATTTCTAGAGTTATGTGTTATTTAGTATATTAGTTATGTTGAATATGTGTTATTTTATTCTCATTAAACTTCTTGATCAAGCCGAAACGTGGAACAGTGGTTTTCAAACATTATTTTTATTTTTGTGCGTTGAAATATTTTGTTGAGCTTTTTAATTAAAAATATTAAACAAAAGTCGAACAGTAAATTAATAATTTTATTGTTTATTAGGTAAATAAAAAAATATATCAAGTATATACAGGTATATTCAAGACTTTATGTGGAAAGGTAAAAAAAAATCTTCAAAAGTTTTTCAGTTTTTCAGAAGTACTTACTATCGATTGTTTCATGAATGTATAATTTATATTTTTCATATATACATTTTTAATTATACCCCATTTTACTTATTACTTATTTTATTACTTTAAGTTTAGTTATAGATATTATTAATATTTTAGCTATAATTATAATTTTTCTTACATTTTACTGAAACTTTCAACTTTAGGTAGTCTAGTATTGCTATATCAGAAATATACTAGGTGTTACATGAATGTACTTGGTAATTATCTTTAGTGATTAGAAATACAAGAGAGAAATAGTAGATATGTAAAATTTAAAGTTGAACATTTATGAAATAAAACGTTTATTAAGGAATATTAATTTATTATAGACATCTCTTAATCTTTCTAGTATACACGCATTTTCGATCTAATATTTGAAAATTCATTTTAAGATGCTGTTTTTAACGTAGTCTTTAAGAAAGTTATTTTGTTCTGTACCTATTTAGGTATGTAGTTGAATAAATACATGGTTGTAGAAAAGTTAAATAGGTTCCGAACTTCACGCTTTGAAAATTCACTTGAGAATTATATCAAATTCACATAATTTATAAGTACCTATTACATTAGTTTTTCAATTATTATAATATAATTTTAACCACCTCATTATATTTCAGAGTTTTTCAGTTTAATTCAGGTATTTCACTAGTATTTCAAGAACTTTATTCTTCGTATACGCCATATTTAATAGCAAATAACCCTTCGAGTAGTGTTGTAATATATTGACACATTGTGAGTGTTAAAATAGTTGTGTAAAATTTTGTAGAAGATGAGAACGAAGCGTTTATTAAAGTACACAGGGCTACTTTTTAATAAAAGGGTAATTTCTTGTAATTAGAAATAAATGTAAATGTCCCGATGGGTAAAATTCTAGGCGCCAGAGTACTATTATATAGTAGATTTCACAACACGCTGTAGATATCTCGAAAACAAACTACTAAAGCACGACATAAAATAAATATTCTCGGAAATAACATATTGTTTCGGTAAAAACATGTTTAAATAGTTTTTAACAAAAATGTCTAATAGTTAATATACAACTAGCAAATCCGATTATCTTAATCTTATATAAAATACATAAACTAAGCTACCTTGGTATGTACTTAAATCTTTATGCGGCGTTAATATATGAGTTTTACAACCCCGAATAAAGTAATTATTTATGGATACCCTTTTACCTAAAAGAAAACGAATACTTTCAATATAAACTAGCCATATCTCACTACCTGAATACTGTTTGACATCCACGTGGAATGGGACAAGTAGAGAGGCATCATAATCTCTAGCATGTGTAACGACTTGCATGACGATATCTAGGTTGAAAATGTTTCAAACATTCAGTTTGGATTGTGTGGAATCTAAGCACTAGGAGCAAAATGAGCGTATCTGGACAAGTTGCGTTTATCCTTCCGGGCGTAAATGATAAAGTCGGCGTTAGCGAGTTTCAGCGTAAATGAGTAGCGAATTATGCGAAATATCAAGCGGAATAAAAGAAAAATTGGATGCGTAGCGAACTATAATGAGCGTTAGATCTACTAAGGATCTGCAAAGGATCACTTCGACACAGCTAATAAGATTCAATCAATCTCCAAGGTAGACAGGTTCATTTGAATTTCTAAGCAGCTGAGGATTGGTTGATATGAAGTTAGAAACATCCTAGAATGGCATGCAAGGTTACAGAACAAGTACTGTGGAATAGCTAGGTATGGCAAGCTATGGCTTTGGTTATGGTAGATTCAGACCTGTGTTGGGATAGGAAAAAGGAGTAGGGTTAGTTCTACCCGGTACTCTCTTTTTCAAGGTATACGTTAGTGTGATAGCTGGAAAAGGCGTGTGGTGGTTGCTAAGGTATGAGTTTACCACCTGGGCGCTTTGTGAGTAGGGCGGACAAGACTTGCGAATAGGGATGAGTCCCGGTATTCGGTCTGGTTAGTTCGACCCGGATTGCTCTCTTTTCCAGTGGCTGGAATAGGCGTGGGCCCATAGTTAGATTTAGATTTTAGACTTAGACTAGGATTTAAGATTTAACTTAAATTGTTGCACGCAAGCTGCAGATTGCGTGTAACACCAATATATAATAAGTAATTCGTTTATTTTACCTTTTGAAATTTTCTTTAGTCCCTGAATAATTTATTTGTCCATCATGAGTTTTTGAGTATTGTTTCTGAGTGAGTTACGATATTTTATTTTTATTCATTTAAGTAGCAAATAAGACGTACCTCCAGTATGAGCAGTGACCAATCTAACATATATTTTTTATTTCAGCATTTAAAAATGTCCTTTAAACGATTCTGATAATGTTTCTCCTTTTAGTGTGTTAAGATAATAGTAACAATTAGCTGATAAGGTTTAGTCAATTGGATTTGTATCAATTGTCTAGTATCAGCAGCAAACAATTAACATATATTTTATTTCAGCTTTTAAAAAAATGTCCTTTAAACGATTCTGATTGTTTCTCCTTTTAGTGTGTTGTAATAATGGTAACAATTAGCTGATAAGGTTTTGTCAATTGGTTTTGTATCAATTGTCTAGTATGAGCAGTAAACATTCTAACAAATATTTTTATTTCAGCATTTAAAAATGCCATTTAAAAGGTCCTGATTATTTTTGCTCTTTTAGATGTGATCCAGAGGAGTGAGGACCCTCTTAAGTCAGGAAGGGCCGAATGTTATCGACGCCTATGATCCTTGCGAGGAGGCAGTCAACGTCACGCCGTCTCCGTGCCTGGCACCCCGTGCCGGCGAATGTTTGGGAGTAGCGGAGTAAAGAGTAGGCTGGGGAAAAAAGAATGGAATGTCGGAACTTGTTGGTTTTCGAGCGTCGGAATCGGTTGTTGTAAAAATCAGTTAGATTGGATTTAAAAATATAATAATTTCTGTTAAATACATTAAAATATCACAATTTCTATAAAATATATAATAATTTCGATTACACTTTATTGTTTTTCGTGGTTCCAATTTTCGGAATCGGGCACTAGTTAGGTTACTAGTTTGCGCACATAGCACGCCCACTTATGGCCTCTAAAATTGTGCACAGCGCCTGACCGGCACAGTTATTAGAGAGATATCGGAAAACCGAATAGGGTCATCCAGTATTTACGCGTACCTTATCATGGTTACGATATGCGCGAGTCAATTTTACCGCCTGACGTAATTTGCGGATCAATTACACCAAGCGCTCTTTCTAAATAACCTCTGATAACGTTTAAAAATTGCTTAAATGGGCATGTGCGGGTATTTGACAAACGGAGCCGGCCGCGCCGGCGAGATCTTTTATTTTAGGTTATGTTTGAATTGTTTTGAATTATTGCTTTAGTTTTATTAGGTAATTTTGTATTTAAGTAGCTGGGATTAGTTTTAATTAAATAAATATGGCCCAAAATATGGATTCCACCTCTTCCAATACTGAAGAACCTATAAAGAGTCTTAGGTTTACAGCAGATTGAGACGACTTAGCCCTTCTAAGAGAATTTGTTGCTTGTTGCCCTAAACCCACTGGCAGACGTTGAACAATAAAGCACTGGAAATAAGCACTTTAGCCCTTTAGTTTTAAAATACCTAGTAAACAAAACAATTTCAAAGTTTTAAATTCAAAGTTAGGCTAAGTTTAAATAGCGGACGCGACGCGATCAGAATTCGTTCCGATCCGATAACTATAAATGAAGAGAGTTAATACCACCTCACGTAAAGGAAATAACACCTGGCCTTATTAACGTCCATACACGCTATTCGGTTTAGCGATATCTCTCTGTTACGCTGTTTATTGTTATTTCACGCGAGTTTATTTTTGCGCACAGGAAATTTGACTCGTTTGCACATCGTAATAAAAAACAATTTTCGTACCACGAATTAGGGACAATCTTTTATCTGTATACATATAGGATACCTAATCTGTGTAGACATATACAATAAGAGGACAAATTATAATTTGCAATGTTAATGGTATACTTGTTTTAATCAACTAGTGCTTAAATTTTTTATAACCACCTTCTAAAATTAGAATAATGTACCTTTAAAATGACAACAATTACTGACCTGCTCTTATGATGTAGAACTTGTCCCCTTTGTCGCCTTGTCGTATAATCACGCTAGATGACGGGAAAAATTCCGGTTTTAACAAGTTAGAAACCTGTCGAAGAATCCTCTCATCTACCGTGTTCAAATAAGCTACGTTTCTGAGGAAGTTGAGATTTTCGTCTTGTTCTTTTAGGTTGTGGCTAATAACTATTTGCTGGTATACTTCTCGGGTTAATACCCAAACCGTGGCATCGGTAACAGCTTGAACAGTAGCTAATCTAAAAACGTTTAAAATTAGTTTTACTCAGATGCAAAAAAATGCAACGGAAAATTTTTTTGGCTTCTTTTAAAATGTTATATTTTTTCTATTTTCCGCCCTATTTCATAGATGTTTTAGCAAACTGTATATAAATATATCAACTTTAATTCGTAAACTCAGTTCATTATAAAATTTAGTATTTAACTTATTATACAGGGATAATCGAAGATTTATTTTTTACTCTATCTTTAAAACACCCTGTGCATTAATTTCGTGAGCAAATTTTCCCAAAACATTATTTTTCGGTCAGAACCATGTCTCCTGAATATTTTGTTTTTTGACTCATGTCAACACATGCCTTTGTTAATTTTTAAGAGCAATATGAACTGGTTACAGCATAGACTTAAAATAAAATATAGACTACACTATTTACATCTCAACGCGGACAAACAACCTTTTTTGTACACATGTTTACTTCTGGGTACAGTCGACAGAGCCTTCCTCATCCAGCCTATGTTGTCACGTCTTTAATATTATAAATATTTTTTTTTCTTGTTATACACATATATTGAGATATTAATACTACAGTTTAATAAAGTAGGTTTTAATATTCCATAGATGTATTAAATAGTCCTTATACTACTAAATTATAAGTCGGATACTGTTTAATAAGGATAAGTTCTTTACAATATGACAACACCGATTAGAGGCGAGGGAGCCTATTCATTCATTTATTACCTTGTAGTACGTGTCGCACGTGTGCGGTAAAGCTTTGTTGCCGCTATCTCCCCGGCTGTAGCATTATAGTTGCCGCTATCTCCCCGGCTATTAGCTTAACGCATTTTCTTAGCTTGTAGTCCTTAAGTGTTTATTTCATTGACTTTTTTTGTTCAAAAACTATAAAATATGGTTCGCCAGTGCCAAATTTGCAAGAAATTTGACTTAAATAATCCATTTAAGTCTTGAAACGACTTTTGACCGGTAGGAAACTCTCAATTTACCCATTGGCAGTCAGTGGCGTTGTTGTAGAAAGGCGCTTATTTAGATAATATTTTAGTAAAATGTAAAATCTGAATTTTTTCTTTTACATTACATTATTTACTTACTTACATTGTAACAAAATCATAATTATAACCCTGTTAATAATTAATAATGTTTTTATTAAAAAGATATTCCGGTTTATTCTAAAATTATCTTCAGAATCTAAAATAACATACAGGAATTTTTAAATGATATTACATTATGAAACAATATTTTTTAATATACCGGGTCGTCTCAAAAGTGGCTCAACCCTATAACTTTTTTTATTTTTTTAGATAAAAAAACAGATTTGTATGTTAGTAGGCATATGACATAAATTAGTTAGTTTTTGGTCTCTTCCTGTTTCACCGAAATGATTACATCTTTTGATTTTTAAAGGCACCCTCGGTATATTGTTACTTTATTCGATAAAAAATGACACTCTGAATAGAATGACATATCATATGTCAACTTTTGACATTGTCGCTTAAAAACTTATCCTATTTTAAATTTCAATCCAGTTTTTTTCAATCCACTAAGTTTTAATCAAGGAGCCTTGGAAAAATAGTTTTGATCGTCTAATAGGTTTCGTGTCTTGTCTAGGCCGGTTAAAAGATGTACAAATCGTATTTTTTAATCATACATATGTCAATTTTTTCAAATGGAACAAGGGTGACTCATTAGCATATTTGGAAAAAGCATTTTTTTATGAATATATTGATACCACACACTTGGTATTTCGAGTCAAATTGTTGTTATGAACCGCGTGTTACAATTACAATTAAACCATATGCGAAAATGTCAAAAGTTGACATATGATATGTCATTCTATTCAGAGTGTCATTTTCTATCGAATAAAGTAGAAATATACCGAGGGTGCCGTTTAAAAATTAAAAGTTATAGTCATTTCCGGTGACACAGGAAGTGACCAAAAACAATTGAATGCGTCAATCAATCCTAATTTATTTCATATACTAACATACTAAATCTTGTTTTTTTATTTGAAAATATAAAAAAATTATGGGGATGAGCCACTTTTGAGCCGCACCCGGTATAATAAAGACAGTACCGAGTTAAATAAATGTAGTTTTTATTTTATCCACTTCCTATCACCTTCCTTGCTTTAATGGAACAGATTTATGTTTTCTCTAATTTACATAATAAGACATCACTTAACTAGAAAAAAAATTACAACAATCATTTTTTTTTCTCTCCCTGTCGCCGATTCTATTATATCTGTGGAATAGATCCGGTTTTGATTAATATTAGGGGTTGTAAATGTTTGACTAAAATTAATAATTTATTATTAATTTCAAAAATTACGTAATTTCGATTATAAAATTTCTTCTATAACGTGTATTTTATTATGTTTATCCTTTTCGGACTCTAAGACGTTTTTTCTAAACTTTTATGTAAAAAACCTGTCCTAAATCTTAATAAAATATAAAAACGTTTAAATACGATATATTTTTAATTTACTTATAGCTTCATTAAAATAAAAAAATTACCCGGCTATGATACGGAGAGTTCAGGTGTACTTGAGAAACGAAAGACAGTGTTGTGTTTCTCGGCAGAGTCGTCAGGGAACGACCGTTACGACAGAGACAACCTATCTATCGCTCGTGTCGCACTCGTTATAACCTAAAACAATAACACAACAATAACAAGACAGTGTCTGACCGCATGTTCCAGCTATTTATGAATGAGATGCTCAGTCTATATTTTATTTTAAGTCTATGGGTTACAGACATTTTTTCAAATAACCTTACTTTTTTATATTATTCTTCATAATGACGAGGTGGCTTTGGCGATTATTGTTGTGTACGATTGAATATGGTTCTGAGTGTCGAAGATTAGAAGAAATTATGAATATACCTACCTCTTTGGGTTGTATAAGATAGCCAATTCACCAAATACCCTGATGTCATCGAATTCTCCTATCAATTTTCCTTTAACTTTGATTCTAAACTTGCCTTCTTTCGAAACGTACATTTCAGAACCTTTGTCTCCTAAAAATAAATAAGTAGTCAAAGATACAAAAGATTCTTTAAATTATGTTTTTCGAATAAGCCCTAGATGTCCCAAAGGGTATTTCAAAGGGTTAACCATCGCGTGGTGAATTTTTGTAACGCTTACGGCGCACGGTGGGGTATTAGCATGAAAAAGGTGATCGAAATGCGAAAAAGCAAATGTGTTTAAGATTTCCCAAAAAAAGATAAATGATAAGTTAAATCATCTCTGCCATGAATGGCGTTGCTATGGGTGTGTTTAGTTGCATTCATTTGTTTCAACGAAACGTCAAAGTTGTTACTTCTCACAGATAAGAGGTAAATGGCTAAATTTTATGTTTAAAATTATAAATTGTTGTTGTTCTTGTGCTCTTTTTACGTTTATGTTATAGTTTTGATTGAAAATGGCTCAGCAAGCTGCAGGTATGTATTCTACAAAAACGTATTATTTATTTTGATATTCTCTATACCAACGATTTTTTTTGCAACTAAAAGTTAGGCGTTCAGAAAATTTGATTAAATTTGTGACATTTTTATTATACTTAGAGATTTAGTTGCGCATTTCGAAGAATTCAGCATATTGTCTATATACGTTTTACTTAGTAAACATTGGGCTTTCATACAGTAAAATAAAATACTGCGAATTTTTGCGACTTTGCTGATAAAATGAGAAAAACATTCTTGGTTTTCTCTAATTTGTCAATCAGTGATATACTAATGCGAGGTGTAAACCGCGATGCATTATTGTGTACAAAGCGATCGCATTAGTGCCATTAGCAGTATAGCACAATTTGGCATTAGTAGCGACTTTAGTGGTATGGGCATTGCTCGCGGATCAGTCGTAGCATTAGTAGTAGTAGTTGCGATATTACTACTGGCACTGACCGTGGAAACACTGGAACAGTGATTTTTCTTTCTTTTTTTAGAATCGACGAATTATCCTTTATTTTGTTCATATTATTTCCTCTTTAATTGAAACTAGCAATAATTTATATAAGGTCTACATAAAAAAATTTCGATCAACTATCAGTGTCAAATACCCCACTGTGCGGCGTGCTGGGGTCCGACGGACCCCAATTTTTTTTCAGCTAAAAATACATGATGAAGAGATTTTATAAAAAGCTTGTTATTTTAACACTGTTTACAATATATTCAAACTTGTGAACTAACAATTTCAACAAATTAATAAGAACGGACACAAAAATAAAGTAAAACGCATTTTTTAGGAATTGTAACTTGGCTAAAAAACCCATAGAAATTAAAAACATATATATTTTATGATTTTACCGTATTATTAAAAGTACAAACAACTGAAATGTGAAGCTAAACTAATAAACATAAATCATTTTCAACAAAACTGCAAACCTTGAATGTACATAACTTTTTCAAATACAGTTCATGCTAATATATGATTTGTATTTGCCGCACATGGATCGTACACATTTGATTCATGAGATTTTTGTTTTTTGTCATTTCTTCATTGACAATGACCTTTCAGCAACATGCAAAAATGCCTTCGCGAAAGAACTCAAGAGAATTTAGTGCTATTAGTACTAGAACTAAGAGAAGACGTACACAAGAATTGGTTTCTCAGTAAGTCCTGCTGAACTTGCGTTTGCTACTCAGACTGGACATACAAAAAAAAAGGAAAGAGAAATGTTGCTTTTGCCATCAAAAAAGCTACGATTTCTAGTCCAGAAGAGTTGGCAAAAATAAAAAATTTGAAAAGGTTAGACAACGAGATGCGACCATTTTCTCCAGAGGAAGCCTTGATAAAGATAACATTTTGTAGAGACCAGTAAATACATTCTGTTAAAATAGCCAAGTAACACAATATCATTGTCAACTGACGCAATAAAACAGAATAATATTAGGTACTGTAAATGGTATAGAGCGTCAAAAATAAAAAAGGCTGTAGCTTTTGAGACACTTGGTATAAACCATTCCCCCTATATCAAAATGCTGGAAAAAGTACCAGGAATTGAAATCTTAAAAAATATATAGGATGTTTAAAAAAACTGAAGTTTGGTCTGTAGCACTTTTCTGACACACCCCGTATAATTAAAAATATTTTAACAAGAAGCAATTCATTATTACTTATAACTTTTGTATTAGCATTATTTTAAAATTCTTAATAGCAAACGAGATACTGGACTTTATCGCACTAATTGAACACCCTGTATATAAAATAGGAAGGTAAAAATGTAAAAAAAAATTTGAGAAGTGTAATTTTACATAAAAACATTATAAATAACAATTATTTCCTTTATTTCAGAAACAACTTTTGAGTGTCCCCGTAATTTTTCCATTTAGACCACTGTGCGCTGGACTTCACCACGCAAGTTGAAGATTAATTAAAAAAGCAACAAAGATACATTGAAATTATCATCTGAACAACCGTTTTAAAAAAATAATCTCTTTCGATTTGAACTATAGACCGGTAAAAAAAATATATGTATCATTCTGATTTTGTTCTTAATAAAAACAATACAGTTATCTACAAATATTGCATCGTCACAAAAACATGTTTTTTTAAGTATGAGTCGTATATTTTGTACTTAAAAGAAATTAAAAAAAATGTTTTAATATAGTTACCTTGTTTGATTATTTTCTGTTTCGCTGATACGCGCTTCACTTGCATAGCATTGATGATGTCAGTCAGGGGTTTCCCAGAGATTACTTTACTGACAAAGTCATTTTTTTCTATGGCTTGTCTAATCTTGTCTTGATCTCTGAAATAAAATTAACGTTATTTTTTCATATAATCAAAATTATTTTTTGTTATAATCATAGAGAATGATAGGAAATGTTTTATAAAATATGTAGGAGTTCTTGGGAGATGGACTGCCAAGTGTCTTTCAGGGGGGATGGGCCATATGGGAAAACGAGAAAATTCCCGGTGGGCCGGTGGGAAGATGGGCCGGTGGGCTGGTCCCGATCAGAGCTCAAAAAAAAATGGATTAGTAAAAGTTAAATGGTTAATCTTCTAACTAAAGATGTAAGATTCTTAGTGAATCCATAACTAATTAATCAATTTGCATCAGTATAATTGTCAGTTGATTGCACTGCAACATAAACACCAATTTGTAAAATAACTATTGTAAGATGTCTTTCTCTGAGACAGTTATAAATTTAATAAACATCTAATCTGTTGTTTGTTCGATTTTTATTATACAAGGTTAGTCTATAAATGCAAATACGTTCAGGGCTGGTAGATCTCAATAAAATAAATATAATCTATTCTCTTTTCCGTGTTTCAAATAAGTCCAACCGAGTTATTAAAGTTTGAAAATTAAAAAAAAAAGATTTAGGTATTTAAAAAAAAATTGAGGCACCTAATTTTCTCTGTTTTTGCATCTCTTTTAGTGCCGTAATATCAGAGATTAAGAAACTATACAGTGAGAAAATTTGCAGTGAACAGGAAGTTCTAAAAAGCTTTTTAAAATATACAGGAAAATTTTAAAAGAAAATGCACGATTTTTAACATCGTTTATCGCAAAAAAAACCTCATAGACGTGTTTTTGGGGTCGAAATATACCACCCCTGAAAATATTTACACTTATTTAAGACTCACCCTTTATAGTTTTACCAGTAAGTATTATTTTTATTAATAACTAATAAATTTGACTGACTGGCAGCAGAAAAAAGAATGAATAGCATTACGTAAATTTATATAGTCTCGATCTAAGTGTATACTAAGAAGACGTTAGCGTAGATTGACAAATGGGGGCCTCGATGTAATATTTTTTGAGCTCCCCTTTGGTAAAAAGGTAGACGAATTTGACGCAAACTCTGCGGTTGACGGAGAAAACATGAAGATGGCTATCTCTATCTCTATGCTTGGTTTGAATTGGGAAGGACTAGGCATGTCTGAGAACAAAAAGCCAAGTCTAAATTGTTGTTTAAAATGTTGCTAAAATTAATTTACTAAAAATTACTGAGACAGCAAAGAAGAATTTAAACTAGATTAGATAATAAAAGATGTCTCGAAAATCAAAATATTCTTATTATGGACTGTAACATAGCATTACCTCAGAACACATTAATATCCACTGCTACCTAGGCAGTGGATAAAAATGTACCTATACCCAAAAAAACTAGGCTATACCTAACTGCCTAGATATTGCTTAGGTTTTTTTTTCGTTTGAGACATGGCATTATCATACAAGATGCCAAATGTAGAAAAGTATAGAGGAAAAGTGATAAGAACTATACCTATAATAACCTAAAAATGCAGCAGTTTTAATGGCGACCGCGGTTCATTCGGTTAAAAACACGTATACACGCCGAGGCTGCTGCTGTACCAGAAAAGAGAGAATTTCTTTCTACAATGTGTAAGAAATAAGAAAGCATATACCTGAAAAGCTAAAAATAATGTATTTCACAGAGGATTGGGCCAACTGAACTGAATGAATCAGGAAGCCTTAAAGTTTCTCAAAATCTTGACTCAAAATCGTAACCTATTCAAGATTAAATTACTATTATCGATAATGGGAATAAAGCAGTAGAACCCTGTAAAACTGAGCCATTTTGTAGTAAAAATTCAGATGTCCGACCCGATATTGATTTTTATGAAAACTTTGATCAAGCCAATTTAATTTTTTTTAAACCAGAGGCAAAAGAGCTTTTTTCGCACAAGCTTATTATTAATAAATAAAATATGTTTCTTCGTTATAGTCATTTTGTTTTCGTGGATTTGGGCCGGTGGCCTGTTATTCCCGGACCGGTTTCCACTTCCCCATCCACCCCTTGTGTCTTTCCAACTTTTTGGAGGTCTCCCCGTTTGTCTCTTATCCATGGGTCTCCCTTCAAGGGCTATGCGTGGTAGCATGTTTTCTTCCATGCGTTTTACGTGTGCGCACCATTGTCTTTTTCTTTGCCTACCCCATCGCACTACGTCCTGTATTCACCATTGTTGTCTGAAATTTGTGTTTCTAATTCTATCTCTTCTAGTCTTCCCCATTATGGTTCTTAGGTTCCTCATTTCAGCAACTCTTAACATGCATTTAGTCTTGTTTGTTTTCTCTCGGATTTCTATGCCATATGTCATTATTGGTCTGATGCAGGTCTTATAAATTTTAATTTTGCTGTCTGTTCGCATGAAGGAGTTTGTCTACACTATTTGTCCACACATCCTGACATGACCGTTGCTCTGTTTATCTGGCTTCTGTTTATCTTGCGACATATCTATTCCTAGGTATCTGAACTGTGATACCTGCTCAATAATTTTGTTTTCTACTACCAGTTTGCATCTTACCGGCTCTTTAGAGAAAGTTAAGCATTTAGTTTTTTTTTCTGTGGAGATAATCATATTTGATTCTCGGCTTATTTCTTATTTCTCGGATCTTCCTCTGTCTCCGCGATAATGGCTGCATCATCAGCGTAACACACACCATGCTAACTGTATTGTGTCCCATTCGATAACCGATATTCATCGATAAAACAAAATAATGTATGTAACTCAATATAAGTTCCTCTACGAGATGTGAGACCTTGTCGCTGGTGGGGAAACACCTAGTCAGGTACTAGGGGGAATCCCCCTGGCACTTTAGGTTGGTCCAAGGAGCATCTCATTGTTTTGTCCCTGGCTGTAGTGTCGTGGCCAGGGAATTGCACCAAGACGTATAACGATGCCGAATGGGACTACCGAAGACAAACTTCTCGACTGTGAAAGGCACGGAGGGCTAAACCCCAACCGTAGAAGTGTATATACCCTCGTAGGATGTAGATGTCCACTCCTCGGAAGATGAACAGTTTTTGTCAGAGGAGGGTAGGAAATACCCTGTCCTTCCTACAACAGGAAGATTCCCATGCATGCTGAGTTATAGACTTTATAATGAGTTATAACTCAAGAAAGGAAGACACAATAGATCTTTAAGGTCTCGGTAATTAACTTCCTTTCCACTTATTTTACATTCTACAACTCAATGCAAGAAAAATCGAATTTATCTGTAGATGTAATAGGATTTTATTTCAAAATTTTTAAGGAATTAAGAATAATAAGCTAATAAGCAAACAGTTTGCGTAAATACTTATGTGATTGATGCTTTTATCATTTTTTTTTATATTGACAAGAATATTTTAAATATGTTTAGGGATTAACTGATTTTATTTGGTAGTAGTATTATGCCTACTTTAAGTGTCTTTATCACTTAATCATATCAAAAAATGACAATTCGGCTATTGTTATTTGATTTATCATTTTTTCTATATTTATTAAAGTAAGTAGATATGTTTATTGTTTAAAGTTTTTAGCATCTTATTGATTTTTGTACTATACTTGAGGATTTGAAAAAAATATCATATTTTCTTAGTATATTAAAAAAATAAATTTATAATAGTGACATGAAGTGAATTGAGAGATTTTTTGTTCCATTTCAAGCAGTTCTACGAGTTTTTACCATTTAAATGTATGGATCGACCCCTAAAACAAATATAACAAACCCGTTACAAATTTGGCGCCCAACGTGGGGCCACTAAAAGTGTAAAAATCGCATAACTCTTCCACAAACCCGTTATATTATCTTTCTTAGTGTAAAAATAATAAGAAATAAGGTACTTACTCAGTCGATTTTGCATATACAGGTAACGCTCCTTCCAGTACCACCTCCGGCATACTAATTTGGACTCCAGATCTTCTCCTAGTACTTTTATCGTTCGAAGATGACTGTCCTTCGGCCGATAGATCCATACTATCCTTTCTATCATCCTGGCTACTACCATTTGACTCCAAAGAATTTCTACTTGACGTTTGAGGTACTGTAAGGTTACCGGCAGCAGTTTCATCTACACTAGGTTGAGTCTCTTCCTCTAAGTGATCTTCTGATGCTGTTATACTGATGGCTATGGATGCTTGAGATGTTTTTGGGTTTGGTGATGACGCGTGATCCAATTTAACGCTTTTGGATTCTGTTACAACTGTTAAACTTGTGGTGGATGAATCTGTTGAATCTGCTCTATCTGTAGCAGCTACATTTGTTTGCAAGGATTCACTTTTTACGACTGTTTCGTGTGTATGTTCATTTTGCACTGTCAACGAACTACTTGTATGTAATACATCATTTTTAATTACTTGTTCAGATGAAGAACCGTTGCTAACACTGTAGTCGTTATTTTTTATATACGTAGTGCTTATATTGTGAGTATCAAAGTTTTCTGTTTTTTGTCTTGTTGATTTGTTTTTTAAAATTCCACTTTGAGATAAAGTATCCTTTTCTTCTTGTACTTTTGTCGTTGTTTGTAATGATGTCGATATATTTTGAGGCTTGATAACAGACTTCTCATTGCTTTTTATATTTGTAGTTTTAATATTTTCAGTTTCATAATTTTCGGTTTTATGTACTGTTATATTTTCTTTTAAAATTCCACTATGAGAAGAACTCTGTTTTTCCTGTACTTTTGTCTCTGTTTTTGATGATGTCGTGGTGTCATTTTGAGGCTTGGTGTTTGAAACAAGTTTTTCCGGTGATTTTCCTTGTCCTGTTGTTTCATTTCCGTTTTTTCCGCCCTGTTTTTCCTGTACTTTTGTCTGTGTTTTTGATGATGTCGTGATGTCATATTGAGGCTTGATAACAGAGTTGTCATTACTTTTTATATTTGTAGTTTTAATATTTTCAGTTTCATCATTTTCGGTTTTATGTATTGTATTTTCTTTTAAAATTCCACTATGAGAAGAACCCTGTTCTTCCTGTACTTTTGTCTGTGTTTTTGATGATGTCGTGATGTCATTTTGAGGCTTGGTGTTTGAAACAAGTTTTTCCGGTGATTTTCCTTGTCCTGTTGTTTCATTTCCGTTGGTCTTATTGTGTTTTTGAGGCTTTGTTTGCTTTGACCCGCCGGCACCATTTTGAGTCAATTCGTCATTTAAAACTTTTGCCGAATCACTATATCTTGAAGTTTTTTGATCTGAAATTTAATTAAAAAAAATATTATTGCGTGTAAATTGACAATTACTAATATAATCGGTGACGCGCAGTGCTAATCAAAACAGGGAGTCAAAATATCGCAAAATAATAAAATAAAATGGCATAAGAAAAAATTAATTCATTGTTGCCAACCATGGGGACATATTCGGCGCCGGGCTGACTAACTGGAAATTAAATTTCCCGTTGGGGATTCAGGTGGTAGCCCTGATGTAAAAAGTGTTAAGTTGCCACATTTATTTATTTATTTCTTCACATTTTGATTCGTTTTAACACTTGTTTAAATGAATTGTTTTCGAACATTGTTCTTTTTAGAACCTCTTTTAGTGCGAAGTGTACAAGATAGCTTAATAGCCTTAAAAAAATCATCGCAACTTTATTAGAATATTTTGAACAGGAAAACGATAGTAATGGCCCTTTATGTCTCTTAAGTGCTGTTAAGGAAATGAGTGTTGTTGACGTAAATAATAACTGTGTATATATTTATTATTAATTTATTTTTGTTTCTTAAAATATTTTGGTTGAAAGAAAATATGTAAAAATGGGCAATGATGTGCCGGCCAAGCTAAATTACGTAACTAAAAGTTTATTTTGACATGAACTATACATATATAATTATTTCTTACTCTAAATTTGAAGAAAATTTTAAAAAACTATTTTTTTTAAATTGAAAATGTGAGAAGTTTACATATGATATGTAATTCTATTCAGAATGCCATTTTCCATCAAATAAAGTAAAAAAATACCGTGGGTGTCATTTAATAAGCAAAAGTTTTAGTCATTTCCGGTGAAACAGGAAGTATCCGAAAACAATTGAATACGACAATGAATCCCGGTTTATGTCGTATACTAATAAACGAAATCTCGTTTTTTTATCTGGAAAAATAAAAAAGTTATAGAGGCGAGTCACTATTCAAAACACACGGTATGATAATCTATCATTAATTAGGAAAATAAATTTAAATACTATTTATACAAAATTTTAAATATGTTAAATAAATACTTACTTGATACAACATAAGTTTGCCTACTGCCCCACAAACAAGGCATCTTGTTTTCACAACAACACACTAGGTTTTTTTTATCACGATATGATTTTTAACTACGGATATAATTAGCGAAAACCATATTAACACCTATTGAAAATAAAGGATAAAATAAACTGTGTCACTGAGAATATCTGACACTATCTTAATAATATTTCATTTAAAATAATGAATACTTCTTAACTCAACTGTAGATAAGATTAAGATTATATTCTTGATATTTGTTTTGTACTAATATATACATATCTACATACCTGGGTAATTGTAAAAATAAATTCGTAGTAAATTATTTATTGTACTCTCTTCGTTCCAGGCACTTGGCAGCTCTATACAGATTGTAGAGTGGGTATGGTATTTCCTCACAGAATCTACATTCCCCGTTGTTTCTTAGATTCAATCTACTGAAGTATTCATTGAGGAGGCAGTACCCTGTTGAAAACCTCGTCACAATCAGAATATTGTTCTTCCTTAAATCAATGAAAATCTTTGTTTTTTTTTTCGGTCGATGGGTTCTGAGAAATTTCTTCTTCGAGTGTCTTAGACCTTTGGAGGATTCCCATTTCCAACTTTCTTTCTTTCCAACAAATGAATTGATTATTGATAAGGTCACAAAAAAATAAATTTCTAAAATGTTTATCGTAATTCAGAATTTAATATATCGAAAACATCCCAACGAATAATCGATTCATTCTTGTTTTGTTTGTATTCTTTCATGTTTCTCTGTTTTATTTTTAAAATTTAATACGAATTTGATTGCTTCGAATGTCTTGAATTTGAAATTGTTGTAACTACGGCAACGTTGCTTAACATCGTCGTATGACGCAAGCCCGCCACGACGGCGCGGCGCCTCAAAGGAGCAGTTGACACGCGGTACTCTTGGCCGACGGTTGGGCTGTCGATGGAATTGTCGAAATACATCGAAAAAATAGCAAAAAAACAAAATACGGTATTTAAAATTGTTGAGTGAAGCATGTATTTTCTTAGATTGAAAGTAGTTCGTAACATTTATTCATTCAGAAAGGTATTCAAAGTAATGTGCGCTTTTCAAGGTGTTTTGTAAATCAGTGGTTCAAATAAAACAGAGAATATATATATATATATATATATATATATATATATATATATATATATATATATATATATATATATATATATATATATATATATATATATATATATATACATGAAAGAAAACAAACAAAACAAAAATGAATTGATTATTCGTTGGGCTGTTTTCGATATATTGAATTCTAAATTACGATAAACATTTTAGGAATTTCTTTTTTGTGACCTGATTGTGTAATATGATGAATCATTTTATTAAATTTATTCCAAAATAAAGTTATTTTGCAGCATAAAGCCCCGTTCTCAGAACTGCGTCGTGTCGACAGCGACACTGATTGACACTTCAAACGACCAATGGGAGCTGTACTAAATTTAAAATTGACAGCTGTTTGAATTTTGTACAAATCTGATTGGTTCTTTTGTCGTGTCGCTGGCGACAGTCGCAGTTCTGAGAACGGGGCTTAACAAAGATTTTCGTAAACGTCATAAACGTAATGTTTTAGTTAATTTTTGGTAGTTTTTGTTAAGTTTTCATTGAAAGGGTAAGTACTAAAATAATTAATGTGTTTTTTTTTCTATAATTATTAATAATGAGCACTGATAAAAGATTAAATTTAACATTCCTAATTTTTTGAGTAGAAATTTGTCTATGAATTTATAAATGTAGAACTATATAGAATGTGGATAACATAGGAGGTTGCAACACTGCAAGGTTTAGATAGACCGTAGAGAAATCTCAGGTGAATAAACAAGTGGCACTAAATTTTTTTTTCAAATTTCCCGGAAAATGTCAAGAAAAATGTTTCGCAAAAAAAGCTTCATAGGCCTGTTTCTGGGGTTGAACTATGCTACCAGTTAAAATATTTGCACTTATTTCTGGGACGCCCTGTAGAACCTGTAGTAATGACAGAAAGAGCCAGTATACAAATTCTTTTCAGAGATTTCCAAGTTTTCTTCGCTAAAAATATGGTCCAGAGCTAAAGGTACTAGTTAGAGACAATAAGAAGCGAGTTGGTCCCTCTGCCATGTATGCGAGGCCTATAAAACTACTAGTTTTTGTAACTATTGCAACAATTTTTTTCGCAAAAACTACAGTAATAGACTAATCAATTTTATTGTATTACCGGTAGATATCTACCTAATAGAAGAAGACTAAACATTTAGATAATAGTTTCATCTTCTTCCAGTGGTTAAAATATTTTTTTTTATATTTAAAAGGTTCTGTTTGGTTTATTAGATATAATATGTTCGGTTTGGTTTAGTTTTTGTGAGTTGGCAATGTTTTATTTTTTTATTTTGAATACTAAAAATGTTTCGTTCGGTTAATGTAGGGTCATCAGGGCCAGTCAACTGAGATATACGACCTTGAACGATCTTTTTTTGGGGTAGTAATTTCCTGGGGCGCTAGATGGCGTATTTTTATTTTAATTTTTCTAGTTGCCTAACAATTGCGTACAAAATTGTTTTTATAGTTGCCTAAATAGGCCTATTAATTATTTTCTGTCATTGTTCTGTATGTCAAATCAGTTTTCCGTTTCCGGCTTCCTCCTTCCTCTTCAGTTGTGTTTTGCAATTGAACGGAGATGTGCGTTTCGCTGTTTTCTGGTTGTTTGGCTGTGTTTTCTGCAATCTTCATTTTACAATCGTGATTTTGTATTTTGAATTTTTTGAACTTTGTTTTGTGTTTGATTTTTAAGATCTTTATTAAAGGTAAGGTTTAAGTTAAAGGTCTTTGATTTATCTAACAATTTTATTTAATAATCCGAGAAAGTGAGGTGAGGTAACCTAACCAAGTCCAAATGTTTGTGAATTTTATTTTTTAACAATGTAATATTTACAACGCCATATATTTTTACAAAAAAATATTGATCAACTCCATATTTTTGTACATAAATTCCACAATGTGATATTACACAATTGTTCAAGTCCATAATGTAAAAAATACACGTAAATAAAACATTGTTTCTAATGGACGTCACTTTCTCTTGTATTCCAACGATATTTGTTATGTGTTCTTAAATCTGGTACTATAATAAATATTATACTTTTAAATCTGTTGTTTTATTTGTCTGTAAAATGTTTCATGGTATAATTTTCTGTAAATTAAAATAAATTATTTATTGTAGGTTTTTATGCACATAAAATGATATAAGCAAACCATTTAACACTTTACAATAGTTTAACCTGGTTTAACCTTTATATATAAATCCTTGTTTTTTACCATTTGACTTGTTTGCCAACTTGGGACTAATCAGATGACTACACATTATTTTGTAGAAATCTGATTGGCTCTAACTGGCGAACAAGTCAATACGTCTTGCTTAAAAATAAATTGCATCTATTTAAATTTGCCGCTACATTTGTTACTTTCCTGGGTGGCTAGATGGCGCCACTTCAAAATACAGATTACAGATTTCTTTACAAATTTGAAACCGTTTTGAAACTAAAAAATGCATGGGAGTTAGCGTTCTTCTTTAGTGTGTTCTGTGAGGGTCATCGCCAACCGTTCTCTACTCCAGAGAACAGTTCTCTTTTTGATCTCACTGTCCTCTTTTCCCTCATGTATTGAAAAAGTCCTCTTTTTTACATACCAAACTCAAAATCTAAAAAATATTCTTCTATTGCCACAATACTTTAAAAAACTATTAATCTATGTCTTTCATTACTCCCACTCGTTTGTACAGAAAAGAAAATGAAGAAATATTTGTGGAAGCGATAAACATGTTTAACTAATTTTATGTTTACTTATGAAAAAATAAATACGGCTTATGTTTTGAAAAAAAATTGTTGAAAATTGCTTGTTTTATTTTAACAAGTTTTGTGTATAAATATTTTTAAGAAAGGAAGAAAAACCATTAATCGTATACCGTTGACGTGAACAGGGATCGGAGTGTTTGGGCCGAGAGCTAATTACTCCGAACCAATGGGCACTTACCCTAGTATCCTACAGGCAGAAATCTACGCTATCGAGAGATGCGTACAACTTATCTTAGATAGGAACTATCGGAAACAAGAAATAGCCATCTTATCTGATAGTCAAGCAGCGTTAAAGGCGATCAACTCAGTATCAATCAATTCGAAATTGCTCAAAGAATGCATTGAGAAGCTGAATAAATTAGGCAAAGAAAACAAAGTCCTCCTACACTGGGTGCCTGCTCACCAAGGGATAGAAGGCAATGAAAAGCAAATAATCTAGCTAGGAAAGGAGCGAACACTCCACTAACTGGACCAGAACCGTTCTGCTTTCCAAGTGGTAACCAACTCAAGGCGGAACTCAAGAACTTGGAAGATTCCATCCGCAACCTGGAATGGAAATCTTGCAATGGTCTAAGACACTCGAAGAAGTTTCTGAGGGCTTATGATCAAGAAAAATCACAGATCTTCCTGGGTCTGAGTAAGAACAATCTTCGGATTTTCACGGGGTTTTTAACAGGACACTGTCTCCTCAATGAACACCTCAGTAGATTGAAACTAAGAAGAAACGGCGAATGCAGATTCTGTGGGGAAAATCTTCCCCACAGAATCTGCATTCGCCGTTTCTTCTCACCAGTACACCTCATCACTGAGTGCGCCGAGACGACAACCATTCGTGCCATGAATTTTGGTACGACTGATATTGGAGATGGAGAACTACCCTCTATAAAACCGTCCCAGATACTGGCTTTTGTCTGTCTGGGACTGTATGATGAGTTATGATTCAAGAAAGGGGGACACAATGGATCTGTAAGGTCGAAGTGATTAGCCCCCCTCCCACTCATTCTAAATTCAAAAAAAAAAAATACCGTTGACGTAACTTTTTGGTGTTTGTGGTGTTAAAAATGTTTCACCTGTGCCTCTGTTAGTTGGCAACCCTAGGTTAATGTGTTAATAAAGTAAATATGTATTAAAAATGTTGCTTGTTACTGTTTAGCATGCTAAATTTTACAATAAACTTTTAATTTATAGAATAGTGAAAAAATATAAATACGGTACGGAATACGGTCGTGTAATTCGAATGTATGCGCCTGCCAGAGGGTTAAGATGGTTTCCACTTGGGAATCTGAACGGTTTTGGTCCAATAGTGGAGTGTTCGCTCTTTATCTAGCTAAA